TCAACAAAAACACGTATTTGCAAGGGCAACGTAACATCTGATCAGTTCGAAGTGCACGGTGCTGAATCGGATTTCGTCGTAGGTCTACGTGTGCCAGCAGTGTCCAAAGACTGAGAAATAGGAATTCCTAATGTGCCGAGGAATTGTTAGTGTCGCTGTGACAATTCCTAGCGGAAATGAGAATCAGCTATAGGTTCCCTCACAGTTTCACCATTCACGAAAGTCGTGATATTGCTGTTTTAAAAATAATTTTTGCATGAAATTATTGATTCTCACAATTTTGCAAGTGAAAATGAGTGTAAGAACAAAAATTATCGTGAATATTCCATATTTTTACCTTTAGTATGCAAAGAACTGTAGGGGAACTGATGACGAATTTCTAATCCTCAGTCCTTGGACATCCCTCACTACAAAAGGCAGACAGTCTAAAATATTACTGATCTTTTTATATCACTGTTTATACTACTACGGTTCGTAATCTATCATTCTTTACTCACCTTAAGATTAAGGTTTGAATTGACGATCATGTATTCTATTTCTAATCCTCACAATCATCTGAAAAGATTCTTGAGTAATCATGTCATAATTTGAAATAAGTTTAGTTGTCAACTTTTCTTTAACTAATTCTATTATCGATATATATCGACAATGATTAGTGAATGAAAATGTAAGAACAGTATGTTTCACAAACTTACAGTTGCATCACGATCAACTTGAGTGATCATTATTAGATAGTTAATAATTAAATGAAATATCTGAAAAAGTAGTTTAACGTATTTTTCGTTTATTCATTTAGAAAAAATAAATTATAAAGATAAATTAAAATACAAATTTTAACTAATTCTTTAATATAGTAATTGACTAACTGAAACAAAAAACGATGCTATGTCCTCTTATTTTAATAGTGACTAGCCGTTTTCAAAATTGATTTTAGACGAAGGAAAACAAGAAAAAGTGTAGAAATACTTAAATCACACCAAACGTCTTTACAGAGTTATGTCAATTTCTTATAGAATACTTGAAGAAGTTTTCTTTTTATATAGACTGATAGTAAAAACAACGCTTTACATTTCTACACTATTTAATCATTATCCATCTAATATTATAAAACTAAAAATTTTAATAACAACTATTTTTGAGAAAAGGGTGTGGGTGTGGGTGCATAGAAATGGCACAGGCAGTTCCATCCATACATCTACACCCACCATCACCACCACATCCACACTCTGCACTAATCTAATTCGAACATTAGAAAAGAAGTTCTTTACTTTTTAATCCTTCCTAATATGAATTTATACGGAATGAAACAGTAGAAGGGCTACGTTATATATGTTTGCATGTGAAAATATTCTTCGCTTGTTTATCGCACATTGAGGATTTTCTTAATATAACATAATATTTTACATGAAATAAAATTGCATATTGATACAAATACGAATTTAATTCATATTCGGTTGTAGTGAAAGATTGAATTTGTTTTCCTATTCTGTTCATATCATTTTTATTAAATAAAATTACGAACGCGTAGTGAAGAAAAACGAAAAGGTTCGTTTACAAAAAATAGGTTATTAGCAGATAAAATAAAAGCATCGAGGTCATTGAATGTGTTGAGACGGATAGCAATGGAGATGGGATTGTGGATGAGGATGGTTCAAGTTCTTCTGCACAGAACTTGAGAGCAATAGTTGGCCATGTGTTATTTCCTGCTGGACTCCCTCCAGGATTTTGAAACGAACAAGATTGTGCCCACGACCTGACGACGCTAAATAGAGCATCACCAGGACTAAATAAAAAAACTTATGTAAATAACGTGTATACTCATGATGAGTTCTTGCACGCTTGAAAATCGCTTTTAGTGCGAATTGTGTGTAGCAGGTAGGAAGTAATCGGCTATTAAAATATTCAAAGTAAAAACTGTACCTAGAGTTGGTGTACGGAGTTAAAGTCGTTCTAGTTAGATTCCAATTTAATGACGGTAAGTTGCAAAAACAAAAATACTGACGTTTTGTCCATAGAAAAGTCTATTTGCAACAACAACGTCTCTAATTTTTTCATATGATACTACAAGGAAGATTCGAGAGTTTGATATGGCTCGAAATTGATTATCTCATGGAACGAGCATTCTTTTATTGTTCTCTTTTGTGCATGCAATGCGTTAAACTAAAGCTTCAGTAAAACGGCCATAGCTCGTTGCCTAAAGCCTAGACAGTTTAATTGTGTGATATTTTTAATATACCATGGGCATTTACTTTATATAGTGTTCGAACTCAGAAGCGATTTTCAAATAAGAAAAATACTATTCTGAAAAACAAACGATGAAACGCTACCATGTAGTATAGCCTGGTCGTTGTGATTGCCGATGAGTAATAACATAAAAGTCTTTTGTGACATAATGTCGTTCAACACCACAATTCATCCATGAACGTGCCGTTTTTAATGCCTTTTCATTTGGACTTGATGTACTGAAATTACCAATGAAAGAAATGCCTTTAATATAAAAAATACAGTTTTTTAAAATTATATAGCATTTTTTGTTACTGTATGCATCATTATTCCAGCCAGGTGAATGAGCAGCTTGACGATCCCATCCTCGACCTTCATAAACTTTACCGTTTTCACCAACTAGAAAATGATAACCGATATCTACCCAACTTTGGTTATGTTGATGAAAAATCTGAATCTCTTTCACTCGCTCAATACATGATTCATCATCATAGCAACTATAAATAATAAAATGAGTTGCATTATTTTACAATGGAACCTATTTACCTTGGAGGGTCCTCAGCATGATGAATAACAAATAATGAAAGAGGTTTTGCTGTTAGATTTGTTATTGAAGTTGGTTCTCGTGCACCCCATCCAGCTCGATTAACGAATGATATTGCATCACAAACTGATTCGCCATGAGCAACAGTAATAAACAAAAGATACAGTAATACTATACTTTTCATGCGTCCCCAAAGTAAGATTTCGATGATAAAATGTCAAATAGAAAACATGTTTGAAGTGGCTGATTTGCTTTGTTCTTATCAATGTTTCGATCAATATAATAAAAGAGAATTTATCGTGGAGTTTTTTCTTTTATTTGCCAGTTTTATTTTATCTAAAAACAAATATCAAGTATGCGTATGTAGAAGTAAAACATTTGAATCCGATGAATTACCTTTGACACAAACAATATATAAGAATGAAAGTTGATGACAATAGGCTCTCAAGGTATTTTTTCGATGAAAACTCTTTGTTTTAGGATGACAAAAAGATCAGTTATCTCAAAGACAGAATGATAATGTCCAATTTTTGCCAAGAACTTTCTATACTTCTATTTGCATTTACATTTATTAAAATATATGCAGGGTATGTGGCAATAGTTAACTAAAATATATGTGCCATTTTGTATACAATTATTATAACTATCATCTAAAACATTTCATTCACATTATATATTTTTTTCTAAAAGAACCAAAAACATTGAAGTCATTTTCCAGCTGGTAGAATGAAGTGCAATATTTTTTGTTTGCTGCAGTATTTGCTTGAGTATATAAAAATGCAAATATCGAAAAGGAAAATTGTAATCCTTTCGACGAATGTCAAATTTGAGATAAATCAACAAGACAAATAGAACGTTTGGTATATTTTGCATTGAAATATCCCAGGTCGATCATCCTTGATCGTGTACCGATCGCTTACGACAAAAAAAAACGCGAAAGTATTTTCTAGTCGTTTACTGTTGTCGTAAACGAAATCTTACGGTGATTGTACACGCTCAAATAACGACGACCGTTTTTCTATCATATTCATTCGTAAACGGTTATTTACAGTAACCAGCTGTTCTGTTTGAGTATAGTTGCATTTCTTTGGTTATAGTGTAAACCAGCTATCCCATTAAAAAGTTTTCAATGAAAATCACGATTTGTTTTCATGATTATGAGCACAATCACATATTCTTTCAGGAACCTCCTAAAATCTACATTCAGAAATTTTAGCAGTTTTCATTATCATTTGGATTAACCATCTTATTGAATAACTGTCATTTTCGTCAATTTTTAGTCACATCCAAAATCATTCAAGTTATATATTTTTTCAAATTTAAAATATGGGGAATATGCAGGTAGAACATCCAAATAAATCGTAGCACATCCACAGTTCTCTATTGCAGAGAAAAATCCGAAATCCAGCCGTGAATTTCTGAACTACCCAGGAACATTCTCATAAATCAACCCATAAATCACACACAATAGAACTTATCTGCGGATATGATTCATTCCAGCGTATACGGCAGAGACTAGGGGTGTCACATTTAAATTTAAAAAAATTTATTAAATCGGGAAATAAATTTTCAAAAATTTAAATTTAAAATAAATAAAATTGTTTGAAATTCAAATTAGTTAAATTTTGAAAACTAGCAGATAAAAATAGTTATTGACCTTATTGCTACTACGTATTTAAAGTCAAATTTGAGTATGTTTCCTGTTTTCTAAAGTTAAAACTAGTCATTCTTCTATGAATTGTGCTATTAAATATATTTTTATGAGTATCCCAATATTCTGAAGAAGAAAGATGACGGATCCTGCATAATCTGTAGAGAAATTTTGACTATTATGAATAAATATTAACCTAAAATACTAGGTTTTCCTCTTATTTAGCATTTACTACTGTTAAAGTCACGTATTTCTCTCGTAGCAATGATGTGCATTCATCCAAAGAATTTATTAAATTTTAAATTTAAATTTTAAAAAATTTATTAAATCGGGAAGTAAATTTTTGTATCAGAAAAATTTAAATAAAATAAACTGTAAATTGACACTCCTAACCCTCTCTGAAGCAATATTTGGAAAACTTCACTTTGCGATGCAAACGCGTTTATAAATATTTCAATTTTCGCGGTGTATTTTTTTAAGCAGAGCAAACAGATGAATAAAACAGGTTACTGTTTTAGAATGAATTCCAGAAAAACTCAGTTTGAAATAACTACTATCATATCTTTTTATATTTTTTAAGAGAGTTTTTGAGCAATTTTTTAATACCAAAGCTAACCTACAACAGAATTAAAAATATACCTGTAAGAACATATGGTTCATATATTTAGTAAAGGCTAATGGACGTACAAAGCGAAACAAAATTCCAATTAAAAAAAATATTTTAAATCATATTTTATGAAATCATGAACATAAACGTCATCTGTTCGCAAACATTAGAAAAAAGTTATTAATAGTAAAATTTAAATGTTTTCTCTTATTTTCCAACATTTAGATTTCCAATTAATTGAATCTATCAGTAACTCTATCTCATTATAGTCATATGAGCTGCTTCATATTAGAATAATATGCAAACAGGCAATAAATAATTTCAAAGCGATTTAATTGAAATAAAAACTAAGGCTTTTTATGAATACATAAGAGTGTTATCGATGCTAGTCAATTGATTACATCGTCAGTGATCACAATCTAACAGCCATGTTCCCTCTACTGAAAGGAGGGTCATACGCTGAGCGAACAAAATTCATACGTTTGTATGTATGTATGTTCGTTCGTCCAATAGAAACGCAAACACAAGAAGTTCTCAAAATCTTCAGAATATCTGCTAGTGTTTTAAACTATATGTGATCGGGGTCGGGGAACTCGAATCCGGCATTATGTTTTAGCTGTTTTTCACAGGGATCGTTTTTCAGTAAAGAAAGATTATTGCCCCGATATATTTCAGACAGTATGAAAAGAAGAGTTGCTGTGAATAGAAACAAAGTGGTCAGGAAGTGAAAGTTGTCTGGAAAGCAATCATAATTGTGAGAAGGATATGCAAATGATTAGCAGTTTAAACTGAGAAATATTATGGATCTGAGAGAAAATAAGTGGTTTATGTGATGGGTGTAATTATTGGTTAAGGATTTCTCTAGTTAAAGGTAACACATGTTGAATGGTGGAATTTCAGCTGTTGGTATTTTCTGCTAGTGACTTTGTGTAATTCACTGTTTCAAAAGTGCGCGACGCGATGATGGTGATGGCGATGCTGATAGATATATTGTATGCATATTTACGCTCTTGAAACAAATTGATAATAAGGGTCTGTTTTACGCATTGCATTTTCTGTAGAAACTGCTAGCCGTGAGTGGTGCCCCGTAGGGGTGTCGACGAACGACTAGTCGCTCATCTGTTTGGATTGTTGCTTAAGACAAACTTAGCATAAAGCAAGTAGTGGTTTCGTGACATATTGCACTCTAAAACAGAATATATGTTCATGCAAATCTGTAATTTACATCAAGCATGTCAGCAATGTCTTGCAAGCGTTCAGAATTTGTTTGGAGTTACCAGCGAGAATTCTATTCAAGTGCACGTACAGTTACGAACACATTGTATAATTAATTGGAAACCTTGTAATGTTCTGCTGAAATTGAAAGGAGTTTATCCAATGAGCAAATGAATACAAAATCACGTGACCCCATAGCTGTTGATGGGCATCGTTTTGAAAACTCATCTGGTTTTTATCTAACAAATTCGTAACTAAGTGAAGCTTGAATCATGCAACGTTGTAATCGAACAATTTGATTCTAAAGACGAAGCAAGCTAATTGTGAAAACGGCTAGCCGTGAGTGGCATCCCGAAGGGGTGCCGATGAACGACTAGCCGCTGAGTGCCAGACGCTATTCTAATTAAGACTGCACACTTTTACAACTTTGTCTAACTGATGTGAAGTATCTGAAATATATATTTATCGAAAATATTTTAATGTTTAGTTTCTTCTTGGAGCGATAATGCGATTCAAATAAATCAAGGAGGTGTTAGGGCTCTTTATCTTTGAACATACATGCAGTCGTATGCATATATATTTGCATTGGTGACCGAGAATGAAGCGAATTGAAATGATCTAACGCGGGTTTTAGCAGAAATTCAGGTGCACCGAGTCAAACTCGAAGTAGAGACAGACGGTTCGCTTCATTATGAAATCTATGAATGTACATTCATTCTAACCCAGGTCGTTCATTTCTACAACTGGATCCAATCGGATCTAGTATGAAAATCCACTAGAATCGACGGATTCCGGGTTTCGGACCGAGATTCGGATCCATAAGATCGGAATCCGATACATATTCGATTGTATCCTACTCTGGGATCCGATACGCCAAAAAAGTTTGCTATAGTCAACCTCTAAAAAGCTTTTTTGCGCTAAATGGAATTTTGATAGTTTTTTAAAATTCTCCCGTCGGATCCTTCAATAATTCCGAAACCCAGAATCCAATTGAATTTCCTCGATTAGACGGATGTTATAGAATCCGATAGAATTCGTTGTCGGATTATTCGATCTGGGAAGTGTGCATAGTGTTTAGAGTATTTCGAGCTAAATCTTTACTAAAATGGCGTATTTCGATTATATCTCTCCTAGTTTACTTTGTTTTTTATCTCGAGTTTATTGAACGCTTTTTGAACGTACTTCGTCGTTCATCAGTTGGGACGCACCTAACGTCACTCTAGTCATTTAGTATAAAAAGAAATAGTATTTAAACGAAGATTGCTTGGTAGCACTTGTAAGCAGGTTTTCAATTTAAGCTTTATTATCACTCGTTGTTTTCGTGAGAATCATTGTGAAGCTATAAGTTCGAGAAGTATCTCACCTAGACGTTTTTTGGTTTTTACGTTTTACATAGTAATGTCCTTTCAGTAGAGGGTTAGCGACGGCAAGGTCGTGTGACTTGTATGTTTTGCGTGAACTTTTATAGTCAGATAATGCGTGCATATGATAAGATTAGAGAAGATTTGATTTATCATTTGGTTCGACTTAGCTTGAAGAGTTATTAACAAATATAAATCTCTTGTTACAACGAAGCTACCGCTCTGTTTTCAAAAGTCAGCATAACGATGTCGGTGTGAAGAAAATTCAGTAGCACCCCAACCTCAAAACACCCACATAGGTTTCACCTCTCATAACAGAGTAATCTCGAGTAAATTGTTCAAATTCATCATTTACTGTTGAATTACATAAGCAAGAGAAGATGATTGGTATTTTGGTGTCATTTATTTAGTTTAAATAAATTTACAAGAAGCAAACGAAAACATTCATTACATGAACATCAATGCCACATTGCAATGTAAACTTTGAAAAAATATCTTTAGTAAACGATCTCCGACTTCCGATTCGTTAAAATTGGTTGTCAGCGATAGATAATTATTCAGCAAAAGTAAAGCAACAACATAAACGTAACATAAAACAGTATATTCTTGTAGAGATTTTCGTGCGATCGACAAATGAGTGATCTAAAAAAAAGAAATTATCTTCATTTCTCACACGACACAAGTGTCTAACTTGAAAGCTGATTTTCAATTATTCTACTGCTCGAACTATCGCGAATTTACTTTCCTCTAGCTGCGATAACATGTAACAATTTCAAGAAAGAAGAATCAATAAAATCGTTTTCCTTACTTTTATTTTGTAAATTGTAAAATTCGTTGTATTTTAGTTCTATAAGCGTTGAGGGCTTTATGACATTGTTTTCTGTAAAATTTCGATGGCAGTACGAATACAGCATACGTAAGCATAGGTGGAACCAATGGAATAAAATATGCAATAAGAAATAGCCAAGCATCATTTGTTGATCTCATACATTTTGATATAAACGAAATAATCAAACGAGGTAAACCGAGAATGAAAAATACAACAGGAGCCATAAATAAATGTTTATGTTGTCGAATTTGTTCGCGTAACAGTTCTTTGTAAGGTCGTTGATGCTGAGTATATATTTGTTGTCGTGATCTTTTCGTTATGAGAATTACGGCTGATATTAAGTTGATCACAAATGGAACAATAAAATGAAATGTATTTATAAAAGAATGGAATATTTGCAAACGAGCTGGATAAGTCGCAATACACCATATTCGTTTTTCATCTTCATTATCTTCCTCAACGATTCGTCGATACAATGGATCATACACAGACGTACCAATTACAAAAATTAAAAGACTGCCAATAACTAATTTAGCCATTTTTTTACTTTTTTTTCTTTGAAATCGAGCAGCTTTTATCATAGTTACTGCTCGTTCAACAGCAACACATGCATTCATCCATTGATCCATATCAAGACAAACTTGTAAAAGAAAATCCAGAGATATACATTGAATTTGTAAAAACAATCGATTGAATATAAATGTCATTTGTGCCACAAGAAGTATCCAATATTTCAATGCAAACACAGTCATGGTAGATAAAGATGTTATTGATGAGCCTAATAAATATAAACCGCAGCCAACTTCACATATAGTTTTATCTTTGAATGTTATCAAACACAAAACACCATTGATCAATCCAGCCAAGAGAAAAATTACAGTTACTGCAATGCTAATTTTAACAATAGTTGGTTGATTTGTTAAGCTAATATGTGGTAAAATATGATAACCAAGAATAGCATCAAGTGATAAACCAAATCCACTCGTACGAAATTGACACCGTGCCCCGTAATAACATAATGGACAAATGCAAATTGCTCTTTTCGGGCAATCAGGTGTATCTTGAAAACATTGACCATCATTTTCGCAAACACTTTGACCTGAGCAATCAAATGTCATATTATGATTGAATTGAAAACAATTCGCCAAATGTTGTTGTTCGAAACTATAACATAGACAAATCTGAGTGTTATCATAAAAACATGAAAGATTCGACGGATAGATTTGACATGGCAAATGATAATATTTCATGCGACGAACAATGTGCATTTCAACAAAAGTTTCATTAAATAGCTCATTTATATGTTGACAACGATCGACTGGATTTATTTTTCTAACTATTGTTGTTGCTGCGTTGTAAGACTTTTGAATAACAGCTAAATAATAAATTTTATTTAAGAGCTCAACAAACACCAGGTGAAACTGTTGTGACCAATAAATCGTGATGGAATCTTGTTTTAGTGGAATAGTTCTTAAAGTTGTCGTTCTTATTGGTGTTGCATTATTGACTATTCTTATGAAATGAATAAATATCGATTGAGATAAAGCAATGCCTTTTGCAAATGAAAATTCGATTTTAGTATCATTTCTTTCACATCGGTCTCCAGTATAACCTTTTCGACAAACACAATGAAACGATTGACTTGATAGCGTATATTTATCACTTGGAATGCATTGACCACCATTATAACATGTTAAATTATTATTCATTTGACACACTGCGTTGACCAAGAGACACCGAGAGCCAAATTTATCAATAGGACAAACGCATACAGATCGATTATTGGCAGTAACACCAATATGTTTTGAATCCGATGAACACATATTCTGATGAAATGTTTGACAATATTTTCCAGACCATCCTTGATCACATTGACAAAAATTGTCATCATCAAGTCCATTCGAATATGCAATACACCGGCCATGACTACATTGAAGATTTGAGCAAATTTGAATATTTTCATCATTTCGTGGAATATCGAGTATCAATGCTTGACGATAAACTGGTAAAAATGGAAATAATATTCGATAAAAGAAACTTCCACGATATTTCAAGGAAACCTTTTCATAAATATCAATATTTATTGTATAATTTCGTGTTGAATTTTTCGGTCGTGTTGAGTAAAGTAAATAAATATTAAATTTGATTTTACAATCTCTCGACGATAAATAATTTAATTGTTCATATGAATGAACAATTCTTTCTTCGCTATCATCAATTAATGAGATAACTATTGCGAATAATGTTGACCACGAATCAGCTAATGCTCGAAATTGAATTGTCATACTTACTCGTTGGTTTTGATATTGGCATATTTCACCATAGAAACTTGGTGGACAAAGACACGTATTGTTTGTGAGATTCTTTTCGTCATTTAACCAAACACGTAAATTAAAACCACGATGACAACGAGATTCATGATTATAAGACATTTTAAAAATAGATGAAGTCGAAGTCACCAAATTGACCATATTTTTCATTGGCTCGTCCACTGTTGTGTTCATTTCATTGAGAAAAAAGAATTTCATTTGTTGTTTTCTCTTTTGTTTTGTTTCGTGACATAAAAATTTCTCGACATCAGAACCAAGCGATAAAGCTGGCGAATAGCAAATGCTATTAGAGGATACATTTGTTACACAGAATTGTTCATCATTTCCATCTGCACAGTTATACTCCCCATTGCATAACTTTTCATCGCTTGCACATATCATATATGTGTCGCTGCTGCAGTAAAAATTGAATTCAAAATTAACTTCGTAGGTCGCTGGACATAATAACGGTTCGTCAGTACCACCAAGGCAGTCGACATTACCATCGTGGGCTTTGCCAATAGGTAGACATGACAATTGGTTGGTCACAGGTGACACACACATGTGATGATCCGAAGAGCAATTCAGTATTGGCGATACATTGCAGCCAATTTCATCTTCACCTTTAGGACAATTCCAGATACCATCGCAACGAGTATAGATATTAATACAGAGCCACTGTTCACATTCGGTTTCATCGGTTTCATATCGTTCGTTGATATTCACTGGTATTAATTCAGTAAATCCATCACACGTTGTTTGAAATGATATATTCTTTCTAACATGTTGAATATCGATACCTTCATCTTCACACCAGTAATAAAGATCCAGTGCACAATCACATTCTCCATTATCAACTAAAGATTGATGAATATATGTGTTGGCGACGTCACATTTAAAATGATGCCTCAATTTATCTGTTAAATTCTTGCCGTAGAGTTGGATTATATCTTCGTCATCATTCTCTGGACAATCAAACAGTCCGTCCATAACACCAGTCACTGATATACACCTGGGCGAATTATTACATTGATACATAGTTGATCTATTACAAATGGCAGAAATATCGCTGCTGCCAACATTGTATTTTCTAAGTAAGATAAAAAATTGATGTAAAGGGTTGTGAAATTTGAACTCCCATGTAGTTGAGAGTCCATATGGGAACGATAGCTTTTTGGGATAATAGCACGTTGTATTATTGAATAATATCTTTGGATCATCGATAAAATACTCATCATAACGTGAATTATTATAGCATATGGCAAGTGTTGAAAGAAATCCGCCGACCAAAGCTAATAAATCATTTTTAGTAAGAGCAACAAACATATCACCAAAAAAGAGTGGACCATTTGGAATGTAAAGCATATCTGGACAACTGTCATTAATGATCTCTCCGCAAGAAAACATGTAACAACTTTTATCACAAAACTGACTTTCCGGATGGGGTATTTCCATCAAGCATTTAAGAGATGACCAACATTGTTTTGATATTGAATCATCTCTCGTCGAAAATATAGCGGCCAGTAACAAATTGGCGCGTCCTTCTACACAAGAAGTTGTCAAGAATGTTCCTTCACATGGCATGTCTTCACATTCAAATAATGGTACTTCCTTGACACAACGGCCTTTTCTGTAAGTACGACTTGACACTTCGTCAGACCCATCAAGGCAATCAGGAGTGTCAATATCATCTTGAAAAAACGATGCTGGAATGCACTGTCCATTTGTACATTGATATTCATTGTCTTTGCATTCATTGTATTCAAGTTGCCAACAATATTCTTCATCAACTTCACTATCTATGCAATCTCTATATCCATTACAAATCTCAGTCCAATCTAAACATGCTGGAAAAGGACCACGATTGCATTGTAAATGAGTGTAACAAGTCAAACTAGTTGGATCATATGCATAGGTATGATAATAATCATGAATCATTGCAGATAACGATGAGTAGTTTTCATCGTAATAATCGATTTCGTATTGACACATTGAACCAAACCTTGGTAAAGTACAATTGTAAAAGACTTCTTGTGACAGATCATTTGATGTTGATAATTGATTTAAATAATATTGGTAATCTTCAATAATATCGATCGGTGCTGACCAACGATATAATTGTTGACTTGTTATATTCAGTTTTGATAATTCCGCAAAAGTAAACTTTGGAAATCGATTATTCGTCTCAATAGGAAATATCGATGGCAAATCACTCATACAAAAGGATATTATTTGATGAGTAATAGTAGCTTCTCCAGCTGAAGTCGTAGCACGAAGGCAATCATGTTGTAATTCACTGTAACTTTCATTCTTATTGATCGTATAATGTAGATTTATTTGGGGAGTGGCAAAAATCATGTGTAGGATAATCAAATCGAATAAGCATCTCATTGACAGCATTATTTTATTAAAATGAACACTTGTCTTCTTTATGAAGAATTATTGACTTTATTAAAAGCATTAATGACAACACATGAACAAACTTGTTTATTCCTGCAACTGTTAGTTGTCCTCAGAGAACTATAATCTCGAGGTCTGAACTGTTGGATATGTATGTCAATAGATTACGGAGTAGCATAAATGGAAATAAATGTCATCGAGTAGATTACTTTTTTGCTGTTTAAATGCCATACAACAAAAGTATACGGAGGTATTTATTTGATGACCTATTCAGAATCATTGAAAACAACTGCTTGTTTTGTATTTTTCATTAAATTAATGTAATGATCCTTAGGAAAAGTTTGAAATCAATTATGAATAATTTCTAGATTGAGAAAAGCGATCAGGGTATTATAAGAGCACTTGTGAAATTATAAAAAGGAATTACCGAAATAACTTTTGGTATCCTTGAATTGTGCTTCTTCGTCATTGCTGCAAGTAAACGTGTAGCAGTTTGATACATATCAAGGCCACACTTGTATGATGAGTTTTTTCTTTGTAATTGATATAATACTCAGACGTACAATATCTGATTGTTGTGATTATAAACGAAGAATATTCCTAGTTTTATGCTAATAACAAAAACCAGATTGAAACATTCAAACCTACAAAAATTGTAACTCTTTATTCGTCGACCTGTCTTATACTATTAAATTAGTAACAAAAACTCATTCTGAATAGGAAAGCACACATTTTTTTAAAATGAACTTCTTTTTTTCAATCATAGAAAGCCGTTATCATCCATCTGCCATTATGTAGCATAATCTATTGAATTATTAAATAAATGATCAAATCATATTCGATGACGTAGCTGTAAACGATTCGATTTAGCACAAAAAAACTCAGCGCGTCTGCTGATATTACTTTTCACTTCTATAGAATAATCATACGAATCAAAAACTGTATCAAACAATGTTTTATATTTTACACCTACGTGTTTTTTCTCTAAAAGCTAATCAATATAGGCAGCTGCATAACTATTTATAATGTCATAGTTATTTTAAATTGTTTGACTATTAAGGAATATTGACAGTTTGTTGTTAATCGCTAGTCATGTAACTTCTATTTGTTAACCTAACATTACTGATACAATTGAAGTAGGAAATGCAAAACCAGATGTAATTTGCGTATGAACCATGTTTTATAGAAGCATGTGGTCTCCTAATCTTCATCGCTTTGTAAATTCAAACTTCGATATTTTAAGAAAATTATCATGTTCAAGATGGTTGGGCAGTATTAAAAAAAAAGAAATATACAGATTTAAAATAGTCATTTAGATCTACAACGAAATCTTCTTTTCTCTGCGTCAAGTATTTAAATAATTTCAAAATGTCGTCAGTGTTTTTTCTAGCGATATCAGCCGGAAACAACCATATGCGAGCATTTAAATAATTATACAATACTTTCGATAAAAGTGTGTTTAATTAAAAAGTATCGTTTTTGCGAAGCTACGAGCATGAATAATAAATATATTGGAAACTCAACATTTCACTACAAAACATGTCTAACCAAGATTTTCGGTCTACATTCTGCCTAGAAGATTGGAATATGGTTGCCTTGAGTCATGTTTTAGATTCCGCAACAGACTTTTTCAATACTTAAAATACTATTCATGCCACGAAATTCCCATTGGTATCTAACAGCAAGAAGGAATCTAATAGAACGAATTAAAATATACAAAATGTTCTAATTCGTCTTGTCATAGAGTCTTCTACATAAAATCCCTATCTTGAGGATGTGGGCATCCATACCATTATGAGCGATTCTGAGAAAAAAATGTGAAGTGAATCAGTCAATCTGACAATGATCCAGGTGATGATGAATCTAAAATGTTGAACATACTACTTGTGAAAACAACATTTCAGTAATTCGAAAGAATTTCTAAATGAAAACTGCATTGAATAAATATCACAAAACATTCTAGGCTGCGATAGTGTTTGATTTATTATTCTCTTATGTTACATTAAACCGATAAGGACTCCTTACTATATACAAATGACCAAAATTGCAAGTTACATAGTCAGCATTATATATAGTCACAATTAGAATTATATTTAGTCAATTTATATTGTAAATCCGCACACAGATTAGCTTCACTGGATAGCACGCCACGGTCAGAAGAAGTTTTTATTTACAAATCAGCATGAACTCATGAGGCTAAATTCGAACGAAAATAGTATTCGTATTACTGTCTAGATTTTATCAAAATGAGAAGAAAAATACTCCGGATAACCGACCAAAAGCGAAAGTACGTCAAAATTAGAAGAATGTTGGCATATACCAGACTACTACGATGGGTGACCGCACATATCGTCGCACGACACTTCGTCGCTGAAAATTTCTTTTCGTTCTGTTCGTCCCTATCTATTTGTCTCTTCTCTCTTAATGAATTATTCTTTTGTGTATAACCAATGGAAAACTTATCAGTTATTTTCTGTGTACTTTGTGCGTACTAAACACACAACTTCATGAGGAATAGATTGAGAAAAAAAAATAATATAAACAAAAAAACAAAACTGAAGAAAAAAATGATCTAAAGAGTTATGCTGGCTGCTAAGTTTTTTAAGAATTGATCTAGTTGAGATGAGTCGAGGGAGTTGACCAGTCGAATTTTAATGTCAATTTTAAATTAGATAATAGGAAAACGATCCGGTTTCGGATCATGTGAGTGTGATATTGGTGGTGAGAGAAATGAGGATAAATTGGCATAACAACGAGTTTCATTGATAAATGATTTTTATTTCAATTAATTGACTGACGTTCAAAAAGATCTTAGCTTTACAATCCTGATTCTGAAATCGAAGAATAAATTTCGTCGTTATTGTACGTTTTTCAGTATAGATGTAACCTTCCTAGAGTACCATTCCTTTTTCTTTCATAGGAAACAGTTTTCTATTTGAGAAATTTTGCTTGAAAGGTAGTGCGCAGTGAAAGTTAAAATTTAGAAGTGAAATGTATTTTTTTATTTGACTTGTTCCCATAGTTAAGAATGTCGGAGCAGTGTTTTTTTTAGTTTAGATTACGCTGAAATTCTTGAAGCGGGCGACAAATTTAATTAGTTTTCCTTAGCTTTAGCAATATCACAATTAAATGTGAATAATATTTTTTATTGATCCTTTTACCGAATTAAAATTATATGTCATAACACAATTAATTATCTATCACTATTATACACATCTCTTGTAATTTTTTATTTATTTTATATTATTTCCATTGGTTATACACAAAAAACATAATTCATTAAGAGAGAAGAGACAAATAGATAGGGACGAACAGAAGGAAAAGAATTTTTCTGCGACGAAGTGTCGTGCGACGTTATGTACTAGTGCCGGTAAAACAATGGCTAGACTTGAAATGTCCACGAAAAATAAGATCCATGTTATTTTAAAATTAGATATTAAATTAAATTTATCGTAGCTCAAGTTTAAGTTAATTTCCTTGAAAAATAATAATCATGTTTAATCCTTAACATGAATAACCCAGGACATTATCGATCAGTCGGTTCTTGTCGGGCGGGTTATAATTCCGATGTAACATGGTGACCGGATTCGGTCGGTTAATTTCTGGTGAATTCCGATGATTTTCTTTGTTTTCTTATCAAATCTGGTTACCAGATTCTCCAAGAACCGGCCAGATTTACATTGCCGGAAAATATCAGGTCAGATGATACGATTGAGCCGTATACGACGTGATCCGACAATATCCGGTAACGAAACTTTACCGGAATCCGCCGTGCCGCATGACGCTCGCTTTCATGGTAGATCCGGCTTAATCAGTATCACCGGAACACATCTGATCATATCAGAACGGAACCGTCCTACTCACCGGATTAAGCCACTTACTACAACACAGATCTGACCGACAACATCTACAACTAATTACCAGATGCTAAAGGAAGATCTTGTGATCTATTCCGACCCTTAGTTAACAGCTCACACAACCGATGAAAAGCATGAATTAAAATTATGGTTCATCCAATAGTTTATTTATGAAAATTCAATCCACATCAGCAATACGATTAAGTATTTACTGATACTGAGCGAAGTTATCGACCCAAATGAATCATACTCAGCTCACTTATCATAACTCCAGCTAATATAACGTAATTCTACGATCAACTCCTGGTCTAACCCGAAATCCACAGCAATTAATGATAACCCAGGGCAAGATAAACTTCTTATATATTCACACTATCTTATTCGCCCATGCAACTCGACAAAATTTAAAACGCGTTACACACGTGTTTCCTCGATCTGACAACACCAAAAGCATCATTTCAAATAACCAACAAACGCTTTTGCGGACGCTCGAATGCTGCATACACATGATATTAAAAATTCCATATCCCATTAAATCATTTTCGCATGCCACTCAAAACCCTGATCGATGAAGAAAACCTTCGTTGAAACCATCGAGAATGATTTTCTGAACGATTCCCTATGTCTTAGTATCCTATTTGACGAGGAAAAGGTACGTTGAAATGAGCTAAAATAGTTATCTGAACGATTTTCTATGCCTTCGTGAATTTTTCGATTCCTCAAAAATTATGTTTGGAGTGATTTTGGGTTCGTGTTTATGCAACAAGATAACTCCCGAATGATGTTTATAATGGTGATGATTGATGGAAAGTTAGTGATGATGTTCCAGAATACGATTCAGATGAATTTTCTATGAATTTTTAATGATTTCGATCGGTACAAAATGATGTCTGGGGCGATGTTTTCTAGAACTGAAATGCAACAAGATGGCGCACTAAACGGGTTGATAAGTAATGTGTTTAATGAATATGATGTATAGTCGGTTGGTTTTGGATCATTGTAAGTGCGGGTATTGGTGAGTCAGATGTTGTTGTTTTCGGGTTACAATTTTTTTTAGGGTGATTGCTGTTAGGGGAAATGTTAGTTGTGGACCCGCTTGAGCGGTGAGGGTTTGGCTTATGTGCCATTATTCATCAGGCGTAGTCGTTTCGGTTGGTGTGCGTGTTTCTGAATATTACAGCTGATTCATCTTGTGATTAAAAAACGTTTGCATGAGAGATTCTTTTATGAGGCCCTTGTCATCGGAATCTGATGGAATCCGGTCAAATGTGTGCTGAAGCCCTTGTGAACCCCGGATTATCCAGTAGTCCGGATCGATCGGTTGCGACAATGTTCGGTTGTATTATCCGGCAGGAAGCGACCGGACCATTTTCTTTTGAATTCTGGCCCGGATTCCGGGAGCAAAGATTCCTGCCAGGAAGCACCGGAACTTGGCAGGAATCTCCCGGAAAAGTTCGGCTGTATTTTTGACCGGTATACTGCTTCCATGTTCCAGCGATTTCCCGTGTTTTCCTGCAAGATGTGGTGACTCCCCATATATTTCCTAAAGTATCCTACGGGATTCGGTGGCCGGAGTGTTCGACCTGGGATGGCACCGTAGTTGCAAAAAGTCACCCCTGAACGCATTGTATTCTATACTGCAGTTGTTATAAATCCTAACGCGGTGTGTTAAGTCTCTAACTATTGCTATTCTAAAAGACCTATGCTTTTCAGTTAGTATATCGAGGTGGATCCAGTTGTGTCAATTCCGCGTTCTCTGTTGACCCAATTCAAAATACCAGCAAGGCTGAAAAGAGACCTTACGAGATATTTTTAACATCCAACCCAATAGTATTCCAAACATGATGTACATCCTAACAACAGATTATGATACTGAGATAAGAGTACTATCATAGTCTAAAACATAGATTGACTCTCATCCATGCATAGAAAATCAGATGATAACAGACGAAAAATGGTTTTGACTAATCTGAATTAAAGGAACGTGTATCACGTTCTATTGTCTTTATTGAACTGAAACTGGTTCCATCTCTGTCGAGCAAAATTGATTTTTCAATACTATTGTGTCGCAAACTGTCCAGAGAAAATATTTAGCGTATTACAGTCGTGTTGACAGAATAAATATGTCATATTATTTTACTACTACACCAAGAAAGCCTGTTTCATCCGGTTTTTCGCAATGAGCCTTATTTTCATTTTTATCTTTGGCCACAAATTGCTGGAGCGTTGATCACAGATCCAAGAAAAGATACCTTCAGATGAAAGAAGAGATCAAAGCATGCTACAACACAAGCAAAATGGGAATAAGACTCATTGAATTACAGATAAATATCAATGCTGCTAGTCATACATTACTATTCCCATGTTGCGAATACCGGACCATTTTTTTGCGGTAAACCGCGATATTTATCCTTCGTGAGGTAAATTGCACTGATATGGAAGCTGGTAACCGAACCGGCAGGGCCGCAGTAAGCTGGCGTTTTTGTTAGCATGTTTATCACATGTAAAAGCAAAGAAAAAGGATGTTTAAAATAACTTAATTGATGATTTGGAATACTCCTATTGTTACAGATAATGGACGCACCGGTTAATCACTTTTCTTTAGCGGTAACCGCGATATCAATCATAACCGGCGGTTTATCGCGGCGAATTCCGGTAAATTTTTACTAATGGGAGCCGGTAAGCGGACCGGTTAACCGTCGATTTTCATCCGGTTTGTATGGCATGGGTTGCTTCTTATTTTGATTTCTTTCGTTCTTGTATTATTCAATGCCTCAGTATATAAAAAATCCAAAGGTTACTTTTCTTTCGATTCTTTAAGTATATTGCATTCATTTTATTGATGCTTGTTTGATCACAAGTTAAAGATAACAGAAAAAAAACGTAATGCCACAAAAAGGTCGAATACATATGGATTTAACTCCTAAGGGTAGAATTTATTTAGCAAATTATTGTTAAGATGTCTTATTTTCTTTCTAATTCTAGAATGTGATTTACTTACAGCAAATGCCAACTTTACTGAAAAAGGTAAAAAAAAATGTTTGCTAGATACTGAGATCAGCTACTTTCATTTATTTTAAAAAATAGAAATTCAGGAATGGCATGCGGTACTGCGGAATCACTCTAATTCTTCCATCAACTAATTTCTATATTTTTTGTAGGATTTTCTTCGTCAGTTTCCGTCAGGAACACTCGATAAAAAGACATTTTCAGATTATTATCAGAAATTACAACCAAATGATGAAGCAGATATTGCGTAAAAGCAACGACGTATATTGATTTGTTGATTGACTCTTTTTCGACCGTATTTAGGCAAATATTTGATCGTATCGATATAAATGATGATGGTACGATAGATTTCAATGAACTGCTTGTATTGATTGCTGTTAGAAAAAAATTTGGCAATTTAGAACAACGACTGGACTTTGTATTTGATCTGTTTGTATTCGTGAATGATTGAGTCTTTTCATAGTTTCACTTTTGATTTAGTTGGGATGATTCTGATGATGGGAAAATCGATCGAAAAGAATTAACTAATTGGATATCAGCTATGGTAAGATGTCTTCTGAATTACAGTTTTGTTTTCGATCAACAAACATAGCTTCATTACTAGTACTATCGTGCAGGTGTAATGGACCAAAACAGTGAATGGGATCCGAAAAAACGTGCGAAAGAAATCATCGCTAAACTAGATATCAGTGGTGATAAAAAATTAAGCAAACAAGAATTTATAAATGGGTATACTTTTAAATACAAGCGATTCATTAATATTTCTATTGTAATCTTCTTTTTCTCCTCAGATGCAAGAACGATCCAGTTATTTATGGTCTATTAGTTCCACATACTTAATGATACCTGTACTGTGTGTGTCTCGTCGAGTAATATGGTTTCTTTTCTGACTAAGTTAATATTGACATTCCGAATCCATGAACAAAAAAAGCTTTATTTTATTACTCATTCTTATCAGACAAAAAAAGCAATATGCCAACAGAAGAAAGCAAACACTTGATAAATCAGTCCTCTTGCTTCATATCACACAACATACATTGTCAATATTTTTTGTATCGTTCGTAATTTGACGAATAACAAAAAATGCAATAGAAAATCAATTGTTTCTCATCGAACAAAAGAACTACGTAAATTTAATATATTAAGAAAAGTTTTTTACATGAATGTCTTTAAAAAGATGAATGAATTATTGAGAGAATAATTTTAATCACAGTCAAAAGTTCGTTTTCATCCAAATCATTTAGTTTTTTGATCTTGTGGAAGAAAATATTTCTAAAAATGAAAATTTATAGTTTCTTGATAAAATACAGCAAATAAATCAACGTACTGGTGTGTCCATATGAAAACGATGAGTATTAAATCGGCCATGGCCTTTGTAGAATGATCCAAATCTTGAATTAAAATGAACTGATTGATCAGTAACACTCGATGGATTAGTAACTACAATTGGATTGTCAGCGAAATTTTTACTTGTTGGAATTTTAAATCTAGCCATTTGAATTTCAGTATCAGTCAGTCCTGCATGAGTAATTCGAGCATAGCCAACACTAAAAATTGTTTTTGCGATAAAAATTTAAAAGAATCGCTCTCTAAAGCATACCGAATCAAATTTTTATATAGAATATATTCACACCATCGGTCTCTATCTGTTGGATCAATATCTTTTGCAAGAGAAGTTAATGTTCGATAATCACGACTGAATGGTTCTGATGTTACATAACCAAGAAAAATCAATGGGTTAGTACTAAAAAAGAATCAATCTATTTTATTGTCGCAAAAAAATTGAATATTAAACCTATTGTGCATAATATCTCGTAATTTTTCAGCTTGTAATTTTCGATCTAAATCATCTTTATCATTACCCATATGAACAATAATAACATCAATTAGTTTGCTGCCTGCTTGAACTGTTGCAAGTATAGCTGGAGCAAGTTCACCTAATCGTATTGATTAATAGATAAATATATTTATCTCTATATTTCAAATATCTACCTTCTGGTGATGGTAATAAATAATGTACTGATCGAACAATTGGATATTTTGAAAGAATAATACAACTGAAAAATAAAATAAAATATTCTATTCAACTTTCATAAATCAAGCTTACCCCCAAGTATGATCTTTTGTTGATGGACCAAAATCAGTAAACATATGTAATTTTTCACCTAGATATGAAGTTAAATCATTATTTCCAAAGAATGGTTTCGCTGTGTCAGTTTCAAGAAGGCCAATGACATCCGCATCTAGTTGAAAATGAAAAATAATTATTTTACCAACTATAGACTTTTTGGCTCACTAGTATCGGCAAGTACAGATGCAACACGATCAAGACTCGGTCGAGCATTATTATCATAACCAAAATGAACTGTCCATACAGCAGCTGTAATATGAGTCGGCTAATTAATATAAAAGAAAACAAAGAAATTAGACAATTGAAAAAGGCAACAGCGAACATCTTCTGTATGACTTAATGATGTTGATGGTAACGAAAGAAAACGTGAAAATGTACCAGTAGATGCAATTAAGAAGGCAATACCAAATGCTAAAATAAAAGAATCTCAGTCAAGAATATATTCACTTCAAGACTATTTCTCACCTGACCAAATTTGACGATTTGGAAAACTTATTGAAGAAGTATGACTACGAATATAGGTTCCTAAGTTATGTTCTAGAAATATTACATTTTTTTTGTAAGAATAAAACTAACTAGTGTTATCATTTTCTTACTAGCAGTATAAACTCCAAAATAAATTCCAAGAAAATTAAAGAACACTAAAATATGTGATGTTTCTCGTGTTAATGTTCCACCAAATGGAACAAAATTATAGGCGCTTGTCCAAACAGCATAGACAACTTGAATAATATATGCTAAAGCAGCAATAACAATAATCCGTGGCGCAAGACCACGCGCTATCTTATCGAATAGTAACGGAATTACTGATCCAATAAATACGCTCAAAGCAACACCACCTTTTCGAAGGTAAAAAGAAAGAATGAAGCACAAAAAAAAGCAAGATTGCTTATTTACCCATAAATGAAAGATTTCCTCGACTAAAATATAGTAAACCATAACCAATGAAACCTACGGATGCCCACCAACGATTTGTAACTATATTTATACGAGTAATTGTTACAACACCACAAAATAAACCAATCCAAATGAGAAGTCTTGAAAAAATAAAACAACCGGTAACTCCTTTTTTCAAGAGAATTCAGGTTGTTACCCGTAAGGAATAGGATCAAGTGCTTGATTAGGAAAACCATTTGAAGCCCATCGACTAATCACTGATATATCAGCAAATACCCATTGAAGATTAAACAATAAACAACCGAAACCAATACCAAGTAATAGCCAATTTGGTTGTAAAATATCTTGACGTGATGATGAACGTAATGGATTGGCTCCTTAGAAAAAGTCGTAATATGTTATTTTCATTGATTGAAATTAGATAACATACCAAGTTTAGCAGATGAATCGAATGAGATTGACGGAAGTAATTGCCACATAGTTTTGTCTAAAGATCAAGAAAACAAGCATCAATATGATTGTGTGAAAATTTCACAGATGAATCTTTTATACCACGTCCAAATTGATCCACAATCATTACAAGTCCAATGAGAAAATGCACTAGATTCGCCGTAACACTCGACCATGCTGGCATGATACTTGAAAAACAAACACGAAGACTGAGAAAGAAAAAAAAGCTGATTGTCAATGTCCAAACAACAATCGATCTAAACATCAAAAGAACAAAGAGTTTTCTCTTTGGTGAGTGCTTAAATTTAATTAAAATATTTACCTATATGCATAATATCGTGAATTAAGACTTGTACAAAGATCAATCATAACAGCACAAGTACCGCATGAAAGTATAAATAATCGAATTACAGGTTCTTCGATTTGAAATGATAATAGACTGATAATTACGAAAATACGAATAACTAATTTTCCGACATTGCTCTATGCGAAAAATTAACAAAGTCAATTAGCAAATTAAAAAAAATTAACTTACTTCAGCAATAGAATTTACTAATGAAATATTAAGTATAATTGGACTTGCTAATGACAGTATTAATACTTCATAACCATCAATAGCTAATTTAACCATTGGAAAAAACATAACCATTGGCCCAATGCCGAAAAAGATCGTCCAAAAAATATATCCTATACGAAAAATAGAACCTGTCATAATTATCACAATCGAAACGACATCTTACCGAAAAATAGTTCCCAAATGAATAGACGTAAAAATTTTTTCTCAATAATATCTTGAACATTGGTCGGTAATTTTTGGGCATCACCAAATTCATAGTTTTCAGCAACTAGTTTTCGATTCTTTAGAAGCATTTTTTCTTTTTCTTGATCCGAAGGTTTATCATTAGTTTTACTTCCTGCTTTTTGCCGTGAACGAAGTCCACTCTCATCCATCTAAACTGAACGCTCTATCAATGAAGCGAAGCAAAAATAAAGACCATCATTTTTCAGGCAAATAAAAAAAGAGATTCATTCATTCAAATCATTTTATAGGACTCAAATTTCAAACCATAATGCATGGAATTTGAAATAATTGACGTCTCAAAATTAAAAAATGTGCAGTTATCTTCTGTGAACAAACAAACGAACGAACGAACGAACGAACGAACGAATAATTATTTTAAACTTCTATTGCACAGCAGTTTACCAAGCATATATATTTTTTTCTAATAACTATTGAATCAGTGTAGACGAGTGACATCTACGAAAATTGTGCACATATTACAATAGTGACCAGCAGCGGTGTAACTAGTAGTTCCATAATTAGTGCACTTGGATGTTTGAGTGGCACAACTCGAATAGCTTTGACTTGTTTAGGTTGGGGGTTTGTTTCTAAATTAAGCACCTGCGAATTCAATGAATGCTAGCAGCGATTTCACCACTCTATGGGGTTTTTATCATTATTAGTAATCAAATTGGCTAATTAATTTAAAAAACAAACAAACTGGTCACTAGCTCTGTTGCCAGCGTTATTTCATCAACCAGAATCTCTACCATAATCTGATGGATAACTTATGTTTACTAAGAGAAGAAAAACATTCTTGCATCAATCGATGATGTATAGGCTCATTCAGCATGAACGTAAAATAATTTTCTTCTTTACAAAGAGCTTCCTTCAAGATAGAATAGATTCTCTAGTTTTCATTTGTAGAAAACCGAGAAGTTTTGTGTTTGCATTAATCGTTCTCTAGAAACTATGGCAAGTATCTTCTGTCTGTAGTTTACAGTTGATTATCTTCCCACTATGATTTTTTAGAGCATCGTTCTATGATTATATATATATGTATATCATTAATGGTCTATCCGAGTTAGTTACACCTTCATAATCACTTTCATTTTTAGACTAATGAGATAGTTGTTTAGAGAGAGAGAGAGAGAGAGAGAGAGAGAGAGAAAAGGAAAGAAAACTTCCAAAGGAACTACTTTGCAGGGATTCAAAATAAGCGTAGTTGCCAAAAAAATATTACTAGCACATAGTTACAACATAGACTTGAATATTTTTTCCATAGAAATATGCTTCGATTACACAATAAAGTAAGATTACCAATAACTGTAACATTAAGGTTTTAAAAAGGAAAAGAAACTTTTTCGAGCAATTAAATCTTCCGGTAAATGATGTTGTTTTGTGTGTTTCTATACATATTTAACACCTAGATTTTAATTGGAAATCAAAACACGACAAGAAAAATAACATCGTTACAACATATGCGATGTTGTTTTTCCTAAGAATAATAAACTTGTAGACAGTCATGAATAATAATTATATGCATTTTCAAATATATATATATATTTTTTTCTTTCATATAAAAGGATTATAGACGATTGTTGATTGTATCTTTACTTGAATATTAAATATAAAATATGGTTTCATAATCTCGTCTTTGTATGACGTCTTATTGCAATCAGTTTAGTATTTCGATGAAGGACAAATAAACATTTTCTAAAAACCGGAAGGCTGATCGGCGATCTAATCATGAAACTCCGTTCGTTCATTATTGTCATGTTGAAAATAAATAAAAGTATTATGTTTTCATTGTTAGAAAAGCATATCAAATTCTCGCTATCATAGGAACTTCTCTGGGTAGAATGTATTTTTGTCTCCTATTACTGTAGGCATTAGTATTATGATAATGAAACGAGTTTTTTGTTTGAGAGGCGAAAGTGATATATATATATATATATATATATAATATGTATGTATGTATCTATATAAATATTTGTATAAAATGATTTTGACTCGACTAATAAAGTGGTCGGAGCGGATGCAATGGTTTTCCTCGACTCCTATGTGTCATCCGTTATTTACAAAATAACATGCATATACACATAGTGACACTTCTTTATCAACGAAAAGGAAGAAGAACTCGAGATAGATTATTTGTCATTCTTTTATAGATCTAGTCGAACTTTTTTTCTTAGCAATCATAACAACAGTATCTTTCTATCGGCACGTAGATTCACTTGCGCTGGAGTAATGCATTACTAATGGATAGAGATAAAAAAAACATCGAATATAAGTATGTTGAATAAGTTAGGGTCTCAGTTTTTTTCCTCTCAGTTTTGCATAAAGTAGCCTGTCTACAGAGGAACGTTATATACTCCTAAGTTCTTTTTGTTTGTGAGTGTTTTACCGAAGAATTGATAACTTTCCTTATTCTTTTTCTTTTACCGCCACATACAACGGGCCATACCTCCAGAGAGTTCCGTCTTTATTCTTACTTTTTTTCTTTGCGTTGAGTTTTTTTCCAATTGAAGTCAATCGATACTGTTATTGAGAAAACGATCGACTGATTTAAACGTTTGATTCTATAGGTTTTTCTTTTCATGTAAGAAGAAGTGCTAACATATTAAGATGTCAAACTAAACGACTAAGACAATACAAGCAAAGTCATACGCTTATACACACACACATATATATATATATATACATATATATGTGTGTCTGAATGTTCGATAAGATTAGTTAATCAAATGACAACTTGTGTTCATTCAAATTTGTGTATATTCACAAGTTGTGACGCGTAGCCGATTTGACGAAGATACGATTTGTCTTGGCGAATATAGAGTTGTTTTTTGACAGCGCAGGCGACTTTTCCCTCTCTGTCTCCTGCTGTTGCTCTCTTCTCATCAACTCCTTGTCAGTTTTCTTTCTTAAAATGTTTCCATGCTTTCTGCTCATTTCAGCAGAACACCGACGGCTATTCTCGACAAAGAGGCAGAAAATGAGTGAGAGTGAATGTGTGTGTATATGAGAATGACGGCGTCATCAGTGATTAGTAAGATAGACAGACATTATAGATAAGTGAACAATTGTAGTCTAAGTCGTGTATTTTCTTCAGTTTTTTCCTATGAGTTCGTATATATATATATATATATATATTTTTTTTTTCGATGAGTTAATAGTTGAGACATAGTGCGCTTACAGTTTTTCTTTCGAGTATCGTTCCGTCCAAACACTGCTCTCATTCTTTTCTCATTCCGATTGTTTAGTTCGCAATTGATTGATTGCATGGTAAGAGAAAATGAGATACATCAGTGAACAAGAGAATAAAAAAGGAAGATTTTTTCAGGAATTGCCAGAGAAACAAAATGAGCAAACAACTTAGATAATACCATAGTACAAGCTATTATAAACCAATAATCAGAGTGAAAGCATTTACACATAGAAAAAGAAACATATTTTGAACATCTTTCTTTATTATGTTACCTAGATCTATTTTGTTTTTATCCCGCTTCATTGACTGTTTTATGTGTGTTACATTTGATCAAGCAGAAAATTCTCGAATGAATTTAGTTGAATATGTTTCGATTTATTCAATATTATCTATTCATGTTTTTTTTCTCATTTATTTAATACTATTACTCAACTTAAGTAAAAAAAGAGATGATGATTACTATTTTGTTCTTTTCTCCTGTTCTTTTTTGTTCTTCATATAGATGAATTGAATCGCCATGAATGGGCACCAAACCATTTCGATTATTTTTGGTTCTTATTTTTGTGTTAGTCTATTCTGTACTTGCCAATAATTATTATGGTCATCATCATCTAAATGCTAATCGACAGCGTATTACTCTCAATGGCTTATTTACAAATTCACATTACCCATCAATACATTTTGCTCTTGAACAAGTCAATGCACAATTATTATCGCCAATAAATCTTCAATTTCATCTCGATGAAACTGAAGGAACTATTAAAGTAGGTTCTTCAGCGTAATAAATATATTTTTTTCTCAAAATTTCATAAATTTTGATTTTCAGTGTGATGTTGGTACCAGTGTAAAAACATTTTTTGACATGATGAATCGATCATCATCATCATTGGGTGTTATATTTACTGATGCTTGTCAAACTGTGCTTAGTTATATATCTGAAACGGCGACTTATTTTCGTTTACCTGTTGTATGTATTCTAATGAATTAAATTTTAATAGCTTATCATTTCTATTTAGATTTCCTTTACCGATAGTGATCTTTCATTATTAGCTAAAGATCGTTATCCATATTTTTATCATATTGTACCATCAGATCACGCTCATAATTTAGTGCGTAAACAATTATTACAATATTTTAATTGGACACGGTTTGGTTTGATTTATCAACATGGTTCAAAATATACTCTGGTTAGTTAAAAGACAAAGAAACATACAGTAGTCATGTACTTAGAGAAAACTAAAATTCTAGGCATAGCTTTTTGTAAGCATGAACAAGAGAAAGAATAAAAAAGCCGTTTCTATTTAAGTTTTCATCGATGCAAGTGAACCGGTCTCCAGTTGCTTCATAAGTTATTTTATTTTAAATAAGATAATCAATGAAATGAGTTTTATGAAAATATTATGAAAAATATAATATCGAGTACAATTTTTCTTTCTTGATATATACAATAATATAGTTGAGAACTTTACTGTTCTCTGATTAATAGCTTTATTTATCGGAAGTTCAGGCAATATGACAAGCGGAAAACAATTATGAGGTTGACGGGGTAGAAAAAAGTCCCTTTTCCCCGAAGGTAACGCGAATATAACACATATATATTGTTTCGAGTTTTTGCTATCAATTTTCTCAATAATACAATATTAATGTAATTAATTGGTTTCATATATGGATAGTTTATAGTAAAAAAACAATCCCTAAGTGCAACTATAGATATATATAGATATCCATGAATTTGCACTTAATAGTACATTAGATATTTCTATGGGTATGACTCAACTCAAAATAGATTGTAACGATAATGTATGCATTTACTTTCTTAATGGTAAACTTGAATTTGGTCGAAAGTAAAAATGTCGAAAATAAGAACATTCAAATAAAACTTTGTTGTAAAAAAAAAGGGAAGTTTAAATGAAGACTGTTTGGAAAAGTATGTAATGAAGATGTCATTATTTCACGACGAATATTGACTTATCTTACTGTAAATTTATGGTCCGTCTATCAGACTATTGTTCATTCAGTGCAAAGAAATAGATAAAGAAGAATAAAAAATAACAATCTTCAATCATTCATTATTCGAGAAACAAAATAAAAGTGGTAGTGCCCTCTGATGAAATATCTATCATCAACGATGATTGATATTTCATTAATTCGAATAAATAAGGTATAACTATCTCACTACAGCATGTGAGCTCCTTAAAAGTTTGTCTTTAATTGTGGTAAGAAAGAAGTTTTAATCAAGCAGATAGAACATTGTTTAAAGATGGATTAACTATCATCCTCAAAAACATTTTAGTCTTCTTTTAATAATAAACGTTTTGTTTTAATTAAGTCTACTGACTGATTCATTTTCGCAAAGAAAAAAAAAGATGTATGGAAGTGTCACCTCAGTTTCGACATTTTTCCTTTCGATATCTTTACAGTTTTTATTTTTCGACATTTTTACTCTCGGCCAAATTCCAGATAATCTTAATGCTCCATCCGTATATTACTGTAGTAAATCAAAGTAAGCTTTTGCATAGAAAAGTCTTTGGCATTATTGAAAACATGCATGATAGCGATGGTTCTTGTACTGAGTGAAAAATAAAATATATTCCAATTATGTTCTACTTTTAAAACTACTTTTCTATCACGATAATTTCAATAGAATAGATTCGACAAGCAAAATAGGATTATCATAAGACGAGATTAGTTTGTTACTGTAAAGCTCCATGGCAAGACGAAAAACACGAGAAAACTATTAATTTTATACTTCAATAAAATTAACTCATGTCCATATGACTGAATTAAATGTCGAATAAATAATCGCGTAATCAATCATTGAGATTGAAATGATTTTTATTCATATTCCAAGGACAACAAAGTATCTCTTTATTTGTTTTTAAAAGAAGTTTTGAAAGAAAAATATCTTAATGGGAAATTGGTCAGCATCGACCCAATCACGGCAGGAAACAGAAAAGTGCATATACAATTAGCTTATTACTATTCTGTCTGATGTAATGTTGATGTTGAAGAAAACTGTCAGAAAAATTCACTTGAATGACTTCAGCTGTTAGGCGACAACGAATAAATTTTCTTCTATGGAACATTTTTAGGTGGCAAATGATTTTTCAAATTTAACTGCTATGGATAAAAAGCTATTTGAAGTAAATTTAACACGTGGTCTTGCTTATCGGCATGGGCCAATATGGCAGGCTAATAATGAACGGTATATTGAAACATTATTAAAAGATTTTAAAGTAATATTTCATTCATTGAATATCTCAAAATAAGAAATAAAACATTGTTTCGCATAGACTCGAGATGTACGAATAATTATTGCAAATTTCAATCAAACAGTTGCTAGACATATGTTTTGTCAGGTATGTCCGATACATTTGATTAGAGTTTCTTATTGGTTTTCAAAAGATAGGCAGCTCGTGAACAAGTTTATGGATCTCGTTATCAATGGATTATTCTTGGTTATCCATCGTCATCACCTTGGTGGAATGAGCCAACTCATTGTTCACAGCAAGAAATCGTTCGAGCAATGAATGGTACATTACAAACACGTGTACCACAATTTTCCATGGACGAGAATGCAGTAAAAATCCAATAAATAATTCTATCGGAAAATACAATCGATTTTGTGTTTCTAGAATCGATCAGAATTTGTTTCAGAATATATAAAATCATTTTCGAAATTCGAAAACGATTATTTCGATGCGTATGCATATGATACAATATGGTCTTTAGCATATTTCTATCGATTAAAATTAACGAGTAATCAATCGAATACTGAAGTATTTAAAAATATAATTGACGATATTGATTTTATTGGTGCTACTGTAAGTGAATTCGACATGACAAATGAAAGTTTTTCGATTATGCTCAAATTTAGGGCAGAGTGAGGTATTTAGATGGTGGTCGAATAGGTGAAGTTCTTGTTGAGCAATTTGTTGGTAAGAAAAATAAATCAAATTTAAATCAAATAATTTCCATTGACTATTTAGCTTGTCGAATGATGAATAATGAAACATGTACAATTCCATGTTATGAAGAAGAAGAAGATTGTCATTTAACTGTTGTGAAAATTTTTCGTGCCACGTATTCGGAATCAAAAGATGGTCCACCAATTTTATATACACTTAATCCAATTATGTGGCATGGTTTGTTCTAGATCGAAAATATTTTTTTCATGAGAAGAAAAGTCAAAATTTAGAATTATAAAAAATCATGACAGCTCACATAGGAACTATGTCCTTAGTGTATTTCTAAAGAACTCATTATAATGAAGAGATTTGCTTGTCAAACTACTAGATAGAATAAAATAATGTTTCGGTGAGTGACAACAAGAGAAAGAAGTCACTCACTGGTTTCTTCTTGGTCACAACCGCTTCTATTAGTTTGTGAGTTATGTTAATAATGTAGATCCCGTGGTTAGTGTGTCTGTGACCGTTCCGCATTTGCTTGTCATCATTAACAATAGAAATATCGCTTTTCATAGTTTAATCCTCCAGAGATTAACTTCACTAATTGGGTTTTCTTTTCACAAGGAAATGGTCCACCACGAGATCGAACTAATCAAACAGTACAATTCGAGCATATCTATCCTTCTGTATTTATATCGATATCAATATGTAGCGGAATTGGTTTATTCATGTCATGTGCATTTCTTGCTTTTAATATTCATTTTCGATCACATCGGTAAAAATAAAGCACATACTGAATGATGTAGAGTGTTTGAATTAAGTCTATGTCCTTTAGATACATTCGTATGTCAAGTCCAACATTAAATAATATAATATTATGTGGATGTATGTTGGCTTATATTAGTATGATTTTAATGGGTATTAATTCATCGTTGTTTCGAGAAAAATCGTATGTCGGAACAATTATGAACATTTTTTGTCCGGTCAGTTAAATAATTGCATAGAAATTATAGAGATATTTTCTTTTTTTTCTTTTTGAAGACTCGAGTCTGGATTCTATGTATTAGTTTTACATTAGCTTTTGGATCGATGTTCAGTAAAACTTGGCGCGTACATTCAATTTTTACAAATATTAATACGACGAAACGAGTAGAAAGATATTTTTATTTAAAAACAGAATTTCTTGACGAAGATCATATTTAGGGTATTCATGATTCCCGGTTACTTGCAATTGTTGGTGTTCTACTAACTATCGATTTGATATTTTTAATCGTATGGCAAATATTAGACCCTATACGTCGAGTACTTGTTTATTCTGCACCACATCGATTAAAAGTATTGGCGTAGTTTTTTGCTTTCCTTAATTAAAATAACTTTTGTTTTTCGTCTGTAAGGACAATCAAGATATAGAAATAATTCCATATCGCGAAGAATGTAAAAGTAAAAATATGAGTTTATGGTTTGTTGTTTTAGTTTTAAATAAAGGTTTATTAATGGTAAGAAAAAGTTTTCATCATAAACCTTATTCTCAGTTTTCAATTGATTAAATTTGTTAGTTCTACGGCTCATTTCTATCATGGAAAACCCGTCATGTTACAATGCCGGCATTAAATGATTCACGTTATATCGGTTTAAGTGTATATATTGTGTTTATTTGTTGTACACTTGGCTCCTTGGTTATATTTATACCATCTGAACAGATGCAGTTTTCATATTTTCTTAGATCATTTTTTATTGTTATTTGTACAACAGCCACTGTATGTTTGGTATTTGTGCCCAAGGTAAATTTTGAGATTTAAACTCCAAGAAATGAAAGAATTATTTCTATTTAGATTATTGAAGTTTATCGTGATCCACATTCAAAAAAAAGACAACCAAAAGTTACAAATCGTTTACATCCGAACCAAGGTCGTCCTATTGTATTGACGGTGCAACATTTGAATGCAATTTTATCTGATAATCAAGACTTAAAATTAGTTCTATCTATGGTAAAAATGATTCATTCAGTTTTATTAGAAAACATAGATTTTTTACATTGCTTTCGAATAGAGATTTAACTTGTCTCTAGGATTTCTGAAATTTGCAAAAAAAGAATTTTTTGGTAATTCCATTACTAAATACTTTTTTTTCTGTGTAAATAGCAAGAAGAAACTTTGAATCGATTGTTCGATCAATTGAATGGTCCACGAGTGGAAAATAGAATTACTACTGGTAAGTCACTTTAATTTAATTACGATTGATAACGGCTATTGGATTTTTAAATCTTTTACAAGTTTAATATTGTCTTGTATTTTCAGTTACTGAACCATTTGAAATGGAACGTCTTATTGTATGTAATGACGGAGCTGACGAAGAAGATGATGAGGATGACGACGACGACGACGACGAAGAAGAAGAAAAAGAAGAAGATTCTTCTTCCGGTGATGAATGTCACTTACAATTTATCACAAGCAATGCGTAAGTTTGTTTAATATACTGTTCAAATATTTTCATATTTCATATTATAAATTCAGTTCATTACAACCAGGACGCGTTGCTCGTGCCGTAAGCTTATGTTTATTTAATAAAGTTCAGCTGGGACGAATATCTTGGCCGGAAGCAGCTAGTGATAGTCGTTATTCAATTCCATCGCAAGATATTCACCATTTCGCCTCGTCATCAGCTTCGAAAACTCTACGACGACAAGCATATCACAATTCATTTAGTATTTTTAAGAATAGCCGAAATTCGGAACATTCAGCAGTTGCTAAAGATAATCATGCATCATTGCAAAATTTTGAACCGTTATTCGATGGTTTAGTGTTACTTGATGAAACTCGACTAGATGATATGCTTGAAACAGACCTTATATCAACAGTAAATGGCTAGATAGGTTCATTATTTTCTTTTTGTTTTGTAATTCTTAAATAATATCCTATATAAATATTATTATTTTTCTCTCTTTTTTGTTTCATAATTGATTTAAAACAAAAATGTCTATCGAATTAGTTGAACTTTGGAAGTGTATATTTCGCGTGTGCACTGAGAAAAACTAGAAGCGATGTTTTACTTGGCATTCCGATGGACTAGACACTGATTCAATTGTGGATTCTTACTGTCAATGATTTCAATCGGCTATAATAATTGACTAATTGCATTATTCTAACTTGTTTCAATAAGAAAACAAATCTTGAATATCTTGCAAACGACCTATGATTTTTCTTGATTTAATCAATGTTTCAATTAGACGCGTCATTTCTAGTATTACAATTATACATCAAATGATGTGTTGTTTTTTTCTTTTCTAAGTTCATTTCGTTCCGGCAGAGTAAAAACATTTACTCGTAATTTTACTAAGCATAACTGACAACTCAATAATGCAATATTTTCATCGAGCTTTTTTCTGAAAATTTTAGTTTTAATACTAATCTACTATGATACAAGGCATTCACTTTCAGTTCTGGATAGAAATATCTTTATTGGCTTCCTCGAGAACTATTGATCGTTTAGCACAGCAAAGCTTTAAATAAATAATACGAGCTGAAAAAGATAGACATATTCATATTATTATATTGACTCTTCAGTTCTAAAAACAGCCCATGAAGTAATATCCGATTTTCGTGTGTTAATACACAAATAGTCTATAGTCAACGAGGAATCTTCATCCTGTCCTGAATAAGTGATAGATCGAGGCTATATTAATTCCAGGAGTACTACGACGTGATCAAATGGTATGCATAGAATTGGCAGAAAGAAAAAACGTCGAACGTTCTATAAATCGAGTTTGAGCATACGCTATCCATTTAAAAGTACAACGCTGGATACTCCTGCAGATTATCCATAGAAGATTGCTGAAAAACTAGGTTTACACTCTATCTATAGCATTTTCGACATTTTTTACTTTCGATGTTTTTTCTTTCGGTCAATTTTATACCATTCGATCAAATAGTCTAGAATGACTTGGGGTTCGACGTACCCACTGTTTCGAAATCAAGTTTTTATTTAGCTGTTCAACAATAGTCAATAAGTCAACTTGAAATTTGATATAAATGTTAGAAATTCTGTTCTCACAGTAATATTTATGAAAAAATTTCCAGTAACAATCAAATTTAAAAACGAATATTTAAATACAGATACTCATCATCAAGTTGATATTCTTCTCTACTTCGCTAAAATTTAGACAATAAACTCAATTCTCTATGAAAAGCAAAGCAAAATTGATTTTGTTGCCGATTCCGAATTTTTTGTGTGATGTATTATTACTCATAAGATATTTCATATTGATAACATATGAATACTTTGAAAGCTTGAAGCTGTACATATGTTGTTAAATCCTAACTCTAATATATAAAAACAAAACTGTATCAAGCTTGACTTCATTAATCATATATGTGTAAACTAGTGTACTGCGTGATCGTGATCGTGCGTGATTAGAAGGTTTTTTCGTGATCGTGCGTGATTAGAAGGTTTTTTCGTGATCGTGATCGTGATCGTGATCGTGATCGAAATTAAAAGTTGATATTTCACGACTATTATATACGTTCGAAATTTCAAATATTTATTGAAAAGGTCAATGTTCATATTAAATTGTAAAATCTGACAGTTCATTTGCTGCTTGTAGCAATAAAAAACAAGTAAAATACATAACCTGATTAAATACAAGGTGGCACATAAGTAACGAAGCAAAGTTTTTTTTTCGATTTCTCTCTTATAGATCGTCAACTAGGTCTCATATTGATACCATATATACTACGTGATACAACTCAACGATGCAGCACATGAACAATATCTGAATGTAGTAATTTGTTCAGAACCGTACAAATACAGAAAAACCAAAAATATAGAAATATGTCTGAGCTCTAGCAGAACGTTTTTTAAAGTAGCAGCTCAACACAGTAGCACGCACAAAAGTATATGTTGAAGCATTTTCAGTACAAAGAGTTTTTCACAGAAACTGCTCAGTGTGTACATCTTCTAAGTCTTTTTGCTATGTTGGAGTCTCTCGAGTATTGATAGGTAAGCTCTTCGTCATAATTTCACCGGCACGCTTTACACTTTCATTGTAGTAGCATCTTATAGCTGTATTGACGCGGACGAGCAACCTCAGCTGTATTCTGGTACATGGTATACTACTCTACAGTTACAATTCTTTCAGGTGACGACAGGCGAAAAATACAACTGATGGTCAAAAAAAAACATCTGAAAAACACACTGTTAGAACCATGGAAAAGATGGATAATGCAGAGAGCAAAAACTCAATCAGTCGATAAAAGAGATGACAACTGGCATTGTTGTCTATCGGATGCCACCATTCGCACATAAAAATATCACCTAAGAATGCGAAATAATTTAAGTTATGAGGAATATTGTCACGTATATTTCCATTTTTTTGGTTTTTATATGATATAGATATAGGTTTTTCTATAATCAATCGTGCTAAATCTGTTTTATTGAATTTAAGAGGATCAGTGGCACACATTCTAGAATCTAAAACAAGTTAAAGGTTTTTTTACATCGTCAAAGTATTTTCATAGAATGAATATAAAGAAAGCAAACGAAACTTTGCTGTTGATATTCTTTCTTTTCAAGTCGAAGCCTTTAACTATACCCAATAGAATATATTATATAGATGGCACGACCAATCAATAAAATATTTTTCTTTTATAGCTGAATTAGGGCACTACATGATCACTAGATTCACGATCGCGATCACGATCACGCGTGATCGTAATCGTGCGTGATTGCATATATTTTTCGTGATCGTGATCGTGAGTAAGGATATCAATCACGCAGTACACTAGTGTAAACAGTAGCTTGTTTGTAAATGAAATTCATATGAGAGTAACAAAATGAGAGAAAAGCAAAACAAAAAAAAACAGCTTTGAATAACAATCATTTCTTTTATAACACAATAAAAAATAAAAGTAAAACAGAAATTGTTCACTGATCATATTTAATCACATTTGTCCGTATAAAATCGTTCGAGATCTTTATAATAAATCATTTCATTTTTTCTTACATCCATTAACCGTTGACATAATTCGCACATACGTACACGCTCGAGTGCTTTACCATCAATAATAACTTCATAGTTTTTTCTCCATTCATGATACGTTGAAAATAAAGTTATATTCGAATGAACTTCTTCTAAATGCGTCGCAAGTTGACTCATGTCTTTGTCGAAATCATCAATATGCAGAAATGAATTGCTCGGCGCAAAACGATCATAATCACTTTTATCTGGCCCATAAGCAATTGGTATAAGACCATGATAGAATGCTTTGTAGAATTTTTCAGTTATATAATCTCGGCAAGTATTAGATTCGAAACTTAGATAGAATTTAAAATTTGCCATATAATCATATTCGCAACGAGTCGATCCACCGCATAAATGCAATGGATAATAATCCACACAACGGCCATAGCCTTCAACTAATACTTTTGATGCTTTTTTTAAATTATGAAATAATTCTAAGCGTTTTTTTGATTTACAATTTGAAACAAACCATAATGCACCATTTTCTCGATTAGAAAATTCTTTCCTAATCCATTGCTGATATTCATTATTTGATAGTGCTTTGTCTCGTTTACTAAATAAACCATAGGTCGCAATGGATATTTCACTATCGAATTTATAACTTATTGTCCAATTAAAATTATATTTATTAAATAGAGCATAATTAATGATCGAAGGAGGTTCATCTGACCATAGAATCCAAACAGAATTAGGTTTTGTTTCGGAACGATCCGGTATCGAAGGTCGAGCAAATGGAATATCATAGGCATGAAATATCAATGCATCAGCTTCACGAAATCGTGTAGGATCACATGACCATTGACAACGATGTTTTGATGGACACGACTCACCAAAAATACGTTCACCGGAAAGTGTACAAAATTTTTCAGCACGAAATACTGTCGTATAAAGAACAATGAGAATAATAGAGCTAGTCTCTTGCTGTGCAGTGCCCTGTTGGATAATCTTGATATTGTTTGACCATGTTACATTTCGAAAAATCTTAACAATTAAATTAGTTAAATAAAATCTAATTATGATGACTTACATGTGCTTTAAGTTCTAATATTTCTTTGACGTTGTTCCATTGAACATCTTGATCGATTGGAACTCGATTATATCGAGCAGAAAATGGATTAGGCACATTAATGATGAGAAATAAACTACAGATGCCTACGATCACAAACCATATAGGCGATGTTCGTCGTAAGCGGAAAACTTGTCGCCGCCACAAAAGTCGAATGGCCGATTTCGGATGTGAAAAATGCATTTAAGAATAATATTCGATAAATATCAAATAAAGAGTATGTCTATGTCTAATTATCTAATTTGTTCTCTTGAATACATGTTAGATCGTGACGATTGAAACCGATTGTTGTTGAAATGTATCATGGTCTATAACTAATATTACACATATCTCTTTATTTAAACAGGTTTTTGCACATTCACATGATAAAATAAAAGATCAGTAGAATTTATCGGCGTTACTTGATTAAATATTTGTTACCCTTACTCACGATCACGCGTTCTGCTTTTTCTGTCTCTTTTCTAACACCGAAATGCCATAAGATATCTTACCATGTGTCTGCTCGTTACTCGACTTGAATGAAAGCAGATGCACAGTAATGCATCGTATTGAGAGAAATCATCGATAGATAAATACAACTGACAGCGAACAGCTAATCAAATAGAAAATATTGCTTCAGGGATTTTTATATTCTAATGTATGTAACGGTTAGGCATTGACAGGGCACCACATCTGAAGAATACACAATGAGAACTCAGCCATGTAATTTTTTCGTCAAATGGAAATTTTATAATTATGATGCTAGTTGAACGATGATCAAATGTCTCATATATGCAACACATTACTGTCAGTCTACATAAAAAGTGTCTTGAACCATTTTATAACAAATGCAAATACATCAGCTCATACTTTCGAATAAGTATTGGTTTTTTACATTAATGGGAAAAAACAACCATTCATATCAAATGGAGTAAGCATGTTTTTAAATAGATGATTTGATCGTATCATTTTTTTTTTCGTACTACTATCAACACACATGCGATATGGGTATTCTTTTTTATTCGTATTATAGTGTTATAAATTCTATCAATCTACCTAATCGGATGTGACATTGAGAGCAAATTTGACATTTTTATGAAATGACGTGTAGTGCGCAGCTGTGATTATGGTTTTTTTTGTTACGAAAAGATTAAGAAATAGCGATAAAATACGATTATTGTTCTGTTTCTTTTCTGATAGTTGTATTGGTACAAAATCCCAGCTGTTATTTTTTAGTTGTACTGCTGTGAAACCGTGACTATGTGCTTGATTCAATATATTTTCAACAGAGAAAGACGAATTCGAAATCTTACAATAACTTTTATTTTATGAAGGATAATTAACGTTGAAAATGATTCTCATAATAAATGTTTCAATTAATTTTGATCAAGATTCGTTTGATCGAATGTTTTTACGATGGCGTTTTGACGTATCCTGTTTCTATAAAATCCCGTAAACACTCAAAATAGGATTAAATAATCGCAAGTGGTGTATATATTCTTTTATCTATATGAATTAGATGCTCGAAGAGCATAAATTCGATACAACCATCGAGAAAAAAAACCTATTGAGGATTAGTATGAAAATAACCATATGCGAGGACTTATTTAATCTGAATTAAATATTTAATTAGAAAGTACACTCATTTCCTTTGCTTCTTTAGATATTCTTCGTCTTTAGGTTTGCACATTCAATGCATTAATTATCAAACTGATCATCATACAATAAAAATATGATTTTGATTTTTAGGTTTGCGTAAAGTGTAATGTAATATACTAGACGATTTGCTTCGTTATAAATTTCTTTCTTCGAATTGTATTCATTACAAACTGCTTTTTTTTCTACAAAAAATACCACAGGGTATGCTACGTAGTTGTTTGCATAGAAAGAAAGAACGGAATGTGTCAAGCAATTAAATGAGCCTCGTCTCAGGTTCAACTTTACTCTCTTTCAAATCGCCGAGCAGTAAGAGGTCACGAAACAATTACAGTTACAATAATACGGTCTCCCCGCATCTTAATAAAGTTCGACTGACTCGATATTTTTGCATTATTAAAACAGCAGAGTATTTGTATTATTCTATTGTTGTTTGACGTTGTAAAAAATGTCACTACACTATAGAACTCAATTTGTAACAATTATACTAGACTAATACACACCATTGTCTAAGAGATTGAGTTCGATGCATTAGTCGCGGTTTGTGAAGCTTTAAAAACATAGCTGCATTGCTCGTATTCTAACGTGAACTGATGCTATCAAACAGTAGCAAACAAAATCATATCGTATTACTATAAATGATTCGATACCGGAAAGTCGGGATGTCCTTGGATATATAAGATAAAGTAAAGATACTCATGAAGTAATCAATAATATCACAGTTTGCCTCAGCTGGATGCAGCTGGAGTGAGATCGAACGTTTTGATGTTTTACTTGAGTATATTAAAAACAAAAAAAAGTCAATTTTGAGACGAAACAGATTTGATTTGGCAATGAGTATTATGTTGTCTGTGTTCTACTTACTTGAAGAATTTTTATTAAATAAGGAATACCAGGATATTTCAGTATACAATACGAACAAGTTTATTGCGAAGTATCTAAAAAAGAAAAAGAAACAATCGAATTTTATTCTATGCTCTTCCTATGTTGTAAGGTTTTATAACTATTTACTCGTTCTCTATGTAATATTACTTTATTCTAACTCTATGTTTTAATTAAACGATAAAAGTTAGTATCTATTCTTTTCCCTTGAAGATGAATAGATGAAAATATACAGAAATGACAATACTCTCGTCTTCTAATGTAGCTAAATCAAAGTCAATCTTTCATTACGGTAGACTACTATAAAATAAAATTACATCTATCGATCATAAAAAAAACCCATCAATGTCTATGTGTCGTTAACTGGCGCGTCACTATCTTTATGAACCTTACCCTTCGTACCTAAATCATTTGAAGTAACTATATGACTTCCCACAGTGAGCAATCAATAAGAATGCATTGTGCTATACGCTACTCATTGATAGATCTTCTGTCGGGGATGACGTAGTGGTTCTATGTGTCTAAGTTAGATATCAGAAGGTTTGATTCCTTGCACCGGCACGGTGTCATCGTTTACAAGATATACGGTATCGGAAGAATAAACAAAAAGGGAGAACAGCAATGCACGCCAATTGCGTCACCACTGCTTCGATTTCGATTATATTCTATTCGTTTTCTCTTCCATGTGATTCTTTCGCTGTTTCTTGTGCCTATTTTCGTAAGCGTCCGCAAAAATTGTATAAAAAACGAAAAAAAAAATATATATATATATATATGGATGTCACGAATAAAATACGCATAATCAAAAAAAATTGATAGATCTTCAGCTTCAATGTATACCGACTATGTTTATTAGAATGATTGCCATAGTATAGAGAATGAAAAAGAAAAAGATTTTCATGCTTACACTGTCAAATGTTATATTTGCCACGTGCTTATTTTGATTTGCTTTAAAATTTACAAAATTTTGTACGGTTGAAAAAAATCAGTGTACATAACGAAAAATGTCTTCTAGTTGAAAACTTTGCTTTTTATTGTGGCGATGATATTTACCTACCAATTACCATTACCAAATATTAGTATTTCCTTTATATAATGAGTTGATCGATTCTATACATATTCAGTTGTCGTATTCGACATAATAGAGCTCAGAGAGGAGTCAAATAGAGAAAGAAAAAGAAATTGTGATTTTCTTGCTTTTAACTTACCATGTTCATTCTTTACCAGAAGAGAATTGAAAAGACAAAAAAATGCATGCTACCTGTGGAAACAAAGTTGAAGAACTCTCAAATAATTTATCGATAGGAGAAGAAAAAAGAAAGAATCATGGTAGAGAGCGATCTACACGACAAAAATCCAGAAGCAAAATAACAGAAATATAAATTTTCAGAACAGAAAAAAACGCTAGACAACTCACCATTTCAAGTAACAATGAGAGAAAGAAGAGAAATTATGTTGCTTCATTTGCTCTGTAAACTGCCAGTGAAATGAGCGAGTAAGAGCACTAAACCTTGATTGAATTCACTCTATTTTCCACTATTGCTCTATGCATATACACATTATCAATATAAATGTATATGACCATAGAGCATCTACATTAATTTCACAAAGAAGGCATTATTGAAATATTTGTTAATACATGAAATTGTCTATATTTCGTAGATATTCTCTAGGCTTTTGAAGGATTCTAACGTTTTGAGATTGGTGCAATATTTATTTTCGTTTCTTTTTCTTGCTTGGTTAGACATACACGCACTTAGTTAAAATGTGTCGCATGTATCGTACTTTGCGACACAAAGTACAGCACATTCTGAAGCTACTATATTTCACTTTGATTGGCACCGATCATAACATTCTTAAAATTTCAGACAATCAGATTTTGATGCTCATCTAATTTCCAACAGATAATTTCAAAACTGTTCACTATGGATCTTAAATCCATCTTTCGTGATATTTAATAAAGAATTAATTGAGAAGACATTAAGGGACCATTCAAACTGCGACATATGTTCTTGAGAGACTCTGTGACGCACTAATTGATGTCCACTTAAATGTGGTACATTTTAGTTTTGGTTGCACTTGAGTAGACCAATAACAGAAGCAAAACAAAAAAAATGTATCGCAAAAGTCTATCGAAATTCAATTACATGAACGCAGGATAATCTAAGTCGATGCTAGAGTATTTTGCGAATATATTCACTACAAACAAGCACTCCAACTAAGATCACCTGTGCTCCAAGAAGACGTACGTGAGCTCTATCAAACAGACGCCTCAATAGTCCAGATTGAGGGTCCAGTCATCGAAAAAAATTCCTAATTACTCGCTAGTGCACGGACTGAGTTCAACGCATTCTGTTAGGCAGATTGGATACCCTGAACTCAGTACTTTAACAAGGAACGTATATATGCAAAATAATGACTGAAAAAAAAGATGGTGCAATGTAATAAACGAGCGACAAAAAAAGAAGAGAAATTTTTGAATGAATGGCAAGAAAGAGGGCGGGCAACGTTTGGGTTCATTGAATGAGTAAATTTGATCGAAGCAATAAATCAGTCATTCATTCTTCATGTATCTGCAATCGATTGCTGAACTAGGAGAGAGAGAGAGAGAGAGAGAAATAAACAAGACAACGCTACAATAAATAATTCAGAAATATTGGACTAATTAGCACCTTTCTGAGTGAACGATTTCATATGATCGGAACAAATCAGACGAGGACTCTAAATCTAATCGGAGCGCAGATGGTCTATGTTGAAGTGTTGACTGTAGTAAATCCATTCACAAGATATTCGAATACTAACCTAAGATATTCTACGTGAACAGTAAAATGAATCGGATCGACATCGAAATAACTAACACTTTATATGCTAAAAGTAAATGGTTTATGTCTTGCACAAAATCTATAGAATCGCCAACGCGAATTAGACGAGTAGGAAATATTCAAACTAATCAGATTTATTATTTTATTATATATAAATCACAAGCGAAAGATAACGGTACATAACTACAAAAGCTAATTTGAAAAAAAAATCTTAATTTCCATTGTCATATTCATCATCGAGCTCTTGAGTACGGCAAAGACCATAGTATTCAATTTGAATATATGTTTTCGTTTGACAACGTTCATAATGTAATTGACAACGATTAATATATTGTCTTTTATTATTGCCACAAAATAATTCAAATGGACATAATTTCAACGGTTTATTTGAATTACAATTCATACAAACAGGATGATGATATTTATCGATTGTTTGTACACATATTTCATTCGGCTGACATAAATCTTTCGTACACTGTCGATTTAATCGGCATGGTCCACGATACGCTATTTGTCTTGGCTGATTAAATACTAGAGAATCCGATAAATGACATCGATTAACAAATGTTTTACCATATGTATCGCATACAGGCGAAAAACCAGTACAGTTTCTTTGGCGAAGTATGCAATGAGGCTTAGGAGTCATGATGCATATTTCATTATTCGAGTAGCAACGTGATACTAATGAACAATTTGTTACACACGAACCGAAATAATCAATTCGTAGATTGTAAGGATCAAGCTGTTTCGTGCACAATGCGAGTAGTACTTCGCACATATTCGCATATGTTATACCTGTTTTTAAACACAGTGGACCGAGATAATCGGAATGAATAATATTACATTGAATATTTGAGCAATTCGGTGCATATTGTTGAGAAAGATTATATAATTGTTCGGTCAATGGTGGAAGATTCGAGCGGACTTTCGGTTGATATAAACTAGTATTGATAGGATTGCAATAGGATCGATTGAATAAATCAGTTGGTTTACGTGTTACAACAATACGAGATTGCCAAAGTGATATTGTTGATGTTTGAGATGTTGTTGTATTCGTTATAGGCGGCGGAGAAATTATGTTTGAGTCATTATTCATGATCATTGATCGAGTAGTCGTTGGTACCTACAAACAAACATTATTATCATACAAAACAGAAGCTGCGATACTATTTTTTATAAGCCGCCAATGATTCATGCTTGTTGTCGGAAGTATTAGAAAGGTATTGCTGCATTCTATTTTTCATATAAATTTTAAACGGTGTTTTGAAGATACACCAAAAAATATAGAAATATCTCTATCGGTAATAATGGAACAGAAAATGATCATTAAATGAGATATTTCCAGTACATAGCCTAAGAGTTAGATTCCCATTGAGATAAAAAAAAAAGAAGAAGACTAAAATGATCTTTCTAACGTGCCATAATTTATCAACAACAAACAAAACATCTTCTCACTTTATATTCTGTTTGAAACTATTGTTCGTCTAAGTTTTCTAACGAAATTAATTTTCACAAGGTTGCAAATCTACGTACACTACTAGTTATGTCTCTTTTATGTTGTTTAATAATCGATTTTGTATATTTTGGTTTCATAAATTCTTTTCTTGGCCTCATCGTCGGAGGTAATGGCAAGTTTTGTGTAGTTTTCTTTTCAAATATATTTGTCCAAGGTTGAAATATACTTTGTCGTCCATAATAAGCTTTACAGTAGTGCTCTGTTATTCCATCTTCAATTTTACACATGCCATTTGTTTGCATTTTATCAATGATTAATGGTAATGAACAGATACCGCAGAGTGGTGCATGCTGCCATTTAAGAAAACTGCCGCCTCTATTCCAATCCATACAGCCTGAATTGGGACTAATTCGAAAAAACACGTAATTCCCATCTCGTGCTGCATATTTTAGCCATTCATATTCACATCGATGGCAATCATCATTAACTTTTAAGAAAAAATCTTGTAAGTACGGAAACGAACGAACATAAGAATAGTTCAATGGATTATCGAAGGAAGAAAAATTTAATCGTAAGATATGTAAATTTGGAAATTTATCTGCTAAAAGATTTTCATTGCCTAAATCAGCATGATCAAGTATAAGAACACGTAAACGTTTCATAATTGAACATGATTGATTAGAAAAAAACTTTTCTAAACTCGGTGAAAAATGTGTAAAATGTAAATAAAACAAATTCGACGCTAGAGAATCAAATGGACATACGCTTTTACTAATAATCGTTGTTCGATGAAATATTAAAAATTCAAATTTACGAAATACTTTTGCATGTTGATTTATATTCCAATTTTTAATAGTCGAATCTGTTATTTCAAGCGCGGTTATGTCATGAGAATATTTTAATAGATAGGGATATATATTTGCAAGATTTTCAACAAAACGACATGTTATCATTTTATAAAATTTTGATGTAAATTGTTTACCACCTATACGAATACTGCATTCAGTTGTCGAACCAAATAACATTCTATTGATAAGTTGTGTTGAACGAGTTTGTGTGTGAAAAAATATTGCATCTGATGATATTCTAATGATTGTACAATAGATAACAAACAAGACGATGATTATTAATGACGAGCAATTCATGATGAATTGTTTTTGAGCTAGGAGGAAGGAGGCGAATGAAAATAAAGATAAACAGGCATAGACAAACCAACTGAGATTCGTTTTTTTTTCTTTCGTATTTCTTCTCAACAGTTGTCTATTGAAAAATATTTCATTAGATCATATTACAATACTATTAAAGTAGAAAATATAAAACACACAAACGCAAACAATTAATTAAGTTTTCGATTTAGCCCGTAAACAAAACGCAAACAACAGAAAAGTCAAATAAAAATTTTGACTAGTACTTGAAGATAATGATGAGAGAAAAAGATATTGTTGATCTGAATCGATAAAAGTTATATTTGTTCGTTTCGCTACTGTAGGTTTTGTTAAACGTCGATGTTCTTGATGATAGTGTCGATAATATTTTTGTACATTAATGATCAATTTCATATTTTTCCTATGACATAAACCATCATCACGTTGATCAATACCAGATAATTGACCGGATGATGTCGAAATAAAATAATAAAAATGTCCTTCGGTAAATTCCGGTAAGTTCGGATAAGGCAAATATTTTGATATTGATAATGTATAAATTAATCGTTGCATATCAAATGGTTTATTACATTTTATTAATGAACTATAATTTATTGTATTACAATTATAATAATCATTTTCATTCACAAGATAAAGTGTATTATATTCAATATCAACACTAGCATATTCATTTTCATAATAGGGGCAAATAAAATCAATTGAATCTCCTAGATAAACAGTGAAAAAACCGGATGAATGAAAAATTACATTTGACGAATTCCAATAGATTTCTAAATGTTGCCGATGATGACGACGATTTGCGAAACAAATAATATAGGTCGAAAACATTACAAACTGAATAAAAAGATATGTTAATGACATGTGAAATGATCAGACATCGATTAATGTCTATATCTAGAAATGAGATGTAGATTGCGATGAAAATCATATACATATATTCCATATGCACGACTCAAGAATTATATAAGCAAAAGAAAATTACAACGTTTATATTAGAATAAACATTACCCTCCGTGTCTAATAGACTCGCATTCTTCTCGCATGTTCACTATAGATGTATGTGTGATCACTCGTCAGCTCAAGGATATATCTGACTCGTTGATTCTACGATAGAGAATGTGTTACCTTGTGCCAACAAGTGTTGGTTATTCTCAATAATTTCATTAGTCTGAAAGAGAAAGAAAAAAAAGTGAAATTGTTCTAAAGCATCCCTACATTTATATTGTCACTGAATGCAATAATAGTATCCTTTCGAACGTATTATATATATATATATATATTCTTATGAAGGCTATTTCGAATGAATGATTTTTAAAGTCTTCGTATAGTTTTTTTTTAAAAAGCGTGAAAGGTTCTTTTCACCATCCTTCTTTCTTACCGTTCGAAGTTGACGTTATTTATATCCGTTTGCATTTTGCCAATGACACTTTAAAATTTTGTAAAGTTCTATTTGATTTGAATCTTGAATAAATAATAGATTTTTTTTCAACATTTCTTGTTGATTTTTGATTATTTCTGCATTTAAATCAACAAAAGATTAAAGTTAATGATATATAATACCTTTCGTATAAATAATATCATCGCAAACTTCTTTGATTTCATAATAAAACAGAAAATAGTATTCAAAGTACATTTTTTTTTGTTTAGTATAGATTCTCCTATAGTTCAATTATCATCATGCGAGGAACAGTTGACTGTCTACCGATGAAGAAGTAAAAAGAAACTTGTATGGGTGCATTCATTCAATATAATGTTGACTCCATTTTATATTTCATCTCATCATCGTGCACACAATTGAACGAATTCACGCATCATCTCTTTATTTATGCAATCTTCTAGTTCAGTTTGAGACCACTGAATTCATGTATTTATTTCGATGAAAAAGTGATTGATGCTATTTTGCTTCTATGAAGAATAAACTTAAGACTTCTCAAAAGTAGAAAAGGAAGAATAAGTTCGTCATAGAAACGATGGGAAATTGTTGCCGTGAAATATATTTAATTGTCATTAAGAAATAAACGTTTTTTTTTCTTCATACTTTTTACAAGTCATAAAAACAGAATTGATAACAAAAATCAAGTAACTTTTCTTTCAAAGATATTTTCATAAAATTATGTTGAATAGGAAAATATTGAATGGTGGTTATCAAGACGAAACATTAGCGCAGCGTTTAAACAGACGACGTCGTATACATAATAGAAGAGTTTTAGATAGAAAATCGTTGAATGATGAATCAGAAACAAGATTAAATCATTATTTTCCAACAAAAACGCAATCACTCGATCGTCAATCAAGTAAACGAACAATATCTCCAACGAAGAAATCTTCTAATTCACCTGTAAGATACATTGATCAACAGAAATCATCGTTAATAGTCAATGAAAATCTAGTATTGCCACCAATAGAAAATTCGTCTTTAAAAACCAACCACACTCCAACAAACGATAAAATCGAGTCTTCTCCTCATCTACCATATTTATTCAAAAATCAATCTATCGATTTAGAAAACGAGAAACAAGATTCAACAAAGTCGCTTCCCTCAATCGAACAGAAATCAAATGAAAAATCTGTCATAACCGAACGAATAGTTTCATCGGGACCATCACCAGTTAAAACCTCTACAACTATCGAGGAATCCGATTCGATTCAACAAGAAATTAAACAACATTCTTCTTCAGATCATGATGAAAAATTTGCTATTCGTAAAGAAAATGATGCACCCATACTACCTCCAATTATTCCTTGTGCAACTACCGAGAAATTCAACGCAACAACACAGGAAACCTTTGAAAATTCTAATTTCAAGCGGAACAAAGAAGTTTCTCATGCTGCATGGAGTCATCCACAATCAAGCACTGAGCGTCAAGAAAAATATTCTAATTATTCTTTGTTCGCTTCAAAACCTATTGCACGTACCACATCAGAACAAATCATATCAAAAAATAGATCCGGCCATCAATTGATCAATCCAAAGGAACTTAAAATGAATGATTTAGCACTCTTATATTTATTTCGTAAACGTTTCGTTGACGTTGAACCGACTCGTACATCATCATTAGATCGTAAACAAGCACAACAGAAAACTGTTTGGGATTGAATAGCATCAAGTTTAGTGATTTTTCTTCTTGTTTCATAAATAACATCTCTATCAATGTAAAAACAATATAAAAAGAATTTCTATATTTTGATTAAATTCACAATGTAATTACTTTACGTACAATTATTCATTCTCATGGAATTACTTTATTTAGAGTTTTGTCAGTTGTATTTATATCAGAATCATGGGACGAAGACAATACATAGTCTAAGAAAGCCGTTGCTGTTTCAGCTTTATCATTTATCTGTTATTAAAAAAAAATTTGATAATTATACATTTAATACTATTATACAAACTGTAATAGTTGTTTTCTCTTCGGAGATGTGGGTCCTAATAAATATTTAAATAAACCAAAGAATTCAAATAATGACTGCTGCAAAATTCCTTGAACAAAATTTAGTCATTTATACTGCAGATTTTCCGTCAGCGTGGTTGCAGAAACCAAAAACAAAACAGAATTTCTATTTTTTAGAATGACTGGTGTTCGAAAATTTTTGTAACAGGTATTAATCTAAAAAACTAACTTTTCTTCCATAGTTACAATTGATTGATATTCTGTTGTGTTTCTAATAACTGTAGATTTATTCGTATCAGTATGAAATTCTGTTTCATCATAAACAATTGTAGAATGGGAATCAGTCTCTAAGATTTGAACGAAAAATTCGAATTAGAAGTTGATTCCTATTGTTTTACCTTGCACATTTAAATGGATGCTATATTTCGCCATTCCAATTTGATTAGTTGATGTACAAATAACATTTTGATAGCTCCTATAGATAATGTGTAACCAACAACAACGTTTAGAACACCAAACAAAAGATGTATTTTGAAATTCAGTAATCATTGACCATGAATAGGTTGGATAAGGAATAGCATCCAAATTACAGCAAATCAGATATTTCGAATACAAATTAGCATTATATGTACGCTCGTAAATGTTATCAGGCGGTTTAGGAGGATCTTCAAGCTTAATCTATGACATTTTTTTTTCAAAATGAAATTAAAATTCTCACGAATAATTGTTAATACGATTCGTTGATAAATAGTGTTCTCTGTTTGACATGTATAGAGTCCGGCGTCAGCTCTAGTTACTGATTGAATTTTAGTATCTTGATCATACAAGACTGCAAGCGTTATCATTGAGTAATAATTAGCCGAAAGAAAATTCCATTGAATAGATGATGACTCATTTGATGGGCAATGAAAATAGACAGAATCACCTATAATTCATTTTAACAGTTTCAATAGAATAAATTAAATTCTTCATACCCTCAAAAGCGATACGATGCGTATCACGTTCATTTGTATTCATTGAGATATAATCATTGGTTTTTAAATATTCATCTGATAAAAGTGGACTATCAAGATCTATAATTATGCTATATGTAAAAACTATTAAGTATGTACTATAAAAAAAAAAACTTTTTCCAATTAATGTTTGTACACGTACACCAACACAGGTGGTATCCATATATAATTTACAAAAAAGATGTGTAGTACTTCGAATATGTTTAATCAATAGAGCACTACGATTATAACGAATGGTCTGTTTAGTATCGATTAATTCAATGAATTGTTCGTTAAAGCCATAATTAAAATGACTAGGTCGACAACTAGTTACTAGATTTTCATGAAATTCTGTTAATTTTGTCCAAGTACGGTCGATCGAGCGTGCACCTGTAAATAAATACTTCTTTTATCACGATTGAGAAGACCTCATATAGTTAACTATCTACAGGTGCCCACGTTGTTTTTTTTTATTGGTTTCATAGTTAAGAAAATGATCCTATCGATTTGGTAACGAACCACCCCGTTAAATTAAAAGGACAAGATTTGTATGTCGAAACTGTAATGCTTTCATTGTATTGCAAGATCGCGATATCTTTAACTAATACTTATCATGAAAATTAGCAGCATATAATAAAAGGAAAGGAGCTGTCAAATATTTTGTAGATTACCATTAGAAAAAATAAAAACACCACGTGGCTGTGATGATTCATCATTTGTGTAACATTGATAAAATCCATCACGGTTTTTATTAAATTCTTCTAAACGAATTAGTTTATCATTTACAAACTCAATTCTTCCATTATTCAAATACAATTTCCAATGGACAATATTCTCTGAATTACATTTCAATAAATAAGATTCATCAATTGGTACATAGATAGACGATGGAAATTTCGATCCATTAAGCAATAAATCATCTTCTATAGATGCAAATTTTATTGATCGATTAATTCATAAGCATGACTTACTTTGAGCAGTGATGATTAGAATATACAATAGGCATAGACAGACATAGGTCATACTCATTAGTCGAATAAATTTATTAAGCGCAAAATAAGTTACCACAACAACAATAATTGCGATTTTTCTGTTCAAATCTTTATTAAAAGAAAAATAACGCACTTTGACAATATCAATAATTCCAGAAATATGAAAATCTTACAGCACGAAAAGACATAAAAATAATTTGTTTAGGTAGAAATGAGGTTCTTATTATTTCACACATGATTTTCTTCATCATGTGTATTTAGAATCAATTTATAGCCCGAAAATGTCTCGTCATCATGGACTTCATCAGTATCTGATTCTATACGTGGTTTAATGCGCATGTGCACTAATAAATAAACAATTATTAATATAAAAGCATTACCCGCTAAATGATATGCATATGACATTGTTAATAATGAAACTGATCGATGAGATTCCGGATCCCAAACAAACAACGGATTTGTTGTTGCTGGCCATATGACATAGGCTGCTTGAATGAACCAAGTGCCTTGTGTTAAAGCAAAAAAACTTCGGCCAACAATAAACCAAAAATTATTTGGATCAAAACATTCACACAAAGCTCCTATCATTGAACAGACTATTGTCAAGGCCAGTAGTTGATGCATATGAGCATCAACCATACTTCGAGCATGCAAATGAAATACCATCATTAAACCTTCCATAGAAAAAGCTAAGAAACCCATAAATTGTGTTATACGTTTTGGTAATGCAAATCTATAATGAACAAGTATTTCAATCCAAGCACCAAGAAAAAAGCCAAAAAGCATAGCTGTATGATGAGCATTTTCATCGCCAATATGAGGTCTTGGATCTCTGGAGTAGCCGGTTATAAGTTCAATGGCAAAATGAATGGATGTTATGAGAATTTTTAAAATACTTTCTGCTGGTACTTGTCGAAAAGTTTTACCCGGTAAACATGCACATGGATACGTTGTTGATCCTAGAAACGTTACTTTTTTCGGTAATGTTTCTCTACCCGTTTCACTAGCCAGTGATCGCATATAACGTATGCAATTATTTATATGCCACCACAAAGCAAATAAAATAAAGAATACGCCTAAATTTAAAGAAAGATTTAAGTCTAAATACAGTAGATAATGCTTTCGAAAGCGTACCAGGCGCAATGTGACCAATCCAAGTTCCCATTTTCTTTTTATCTACTTGATCAAATTGGTTAATTTTGAAGATTAATCTAAAAATTTCTCATACCGATTTATCTCGATTATAGAAAAACAATACGATTACTGTTTTCTTTTCTTTTCTCGGATACACAGCTACATCTCAGTCAAATGCAAGAGAATTATGAATAGTATATGAAAAATTCACTAACCTTCCAACTAAAAATACGACTGAAAAATGACCAAATCAATCAGCCGAATGAGTAATATTTGATAAGAGGATTTATAAAAAAAATTCTTCTATCCAATTTACTTAGAACACAGAATAGACTGCGTTTTCTTTTTTGACATTTCTAGAATAATCAAAAGTAATTTTATACTATCGAAAATTTCTTACACAATTTTCTCGTATATTTCTTCTTGTTCAGAAATATATATTCCATCGTTCTTCAAATGTTTATATATAGATAGTATTTCTGTCAATATAAGGTCAGATTGCAATCGATAATTTCATTTTACCAGAAACAAAAAAGAAGAAATGTTTCGCAAACATGCCTGTACACTTAAATGGCGTTCGCAATAGCCTAAATTGTTTATTTATACATGTTTACCAGTCAAGTGATTATCATGCATAGGCTCTAGTTAATTTGAATAAGAGGACAGCAAAAAAAAAACTTTTATTTGCTATAAATATTCATCAATGTAGAAACCAATGAGCATCATATTTTTGTATAGTCTTTCACAACAAAGATCTTCGTTTTAATGACGATTGAATTTCTACATCGTTGAAAGAGACCAAAAAAGGCTTCAGACCACAGATAATGAGAAGGTGATAGGGGTTGTAAAAGATCAATATGATTCCTATAAGGATGAATAAATAATACAGAAATACGTCATAGACTCATGAAAAGGACATTTTTCTTTTTAAGGAAAACGATCTCATCATTGTATCATAATTATCTATCGAAGCAAGATCATACTTCTTTTTTTTTAATAAGAGAACATATAGGTCACAGTAGGTGTTGATCTGAAAGAACTCAATATTAGTGAATAAATCGTATATTGTTTTGACGTGAACGTTCTTAGTCATGGAATGTAGTTAAGTAGTCAATAGATTAAATTTCGATGGAAACACTTGGTTTGTTTTCCTGTCAATAAGTGTCTCTCTGCAGTTTGAAAATACGAACATTTTGTTTGTGACAGATCGAATTTCAAAGAAAACATTTTTTCTTCCGCTCTATCGACAGAGATGTCGGTTCTTGCCAGTTGTGATACGAATTTGAAGAACTCTATAAAAATGGCACACAATGTGTTTGACTCATCTCGATGGAAAAGTATAACGATTGAGTCATGCCTATAACATATCGTGGAGGGGGGCGGGGAGGGGCAAAAAATATTGGATACAGCTTTATTCATGTATTGAAAGGTTTTACGCATATGCATGTCATTCAATGAAATGGTTTTTGAGTAGTGGCAGTTACTACGAAGCATAAAGCTATTCACTGATAATGAACTGAAAGTAAAATAACAATAAAAGCAAAGTCGAGCTTATATTTTATAATCATTGATGTGAATAATGCAAAACTTATTTTATAAATTGGATTTAACTGATTTTGAGTCATGAAAACGTTTTTCATTCATTGAAAAATAATCGTTTTGACATTATGCGTATTGCTTTGATGACAATAATTTCTTTCTACTCGTTGGTTGGTCGATCGATCAATAGATGGGACATTGATTTGTCTACCGAAAAAACAAAATCCGTGATGTTAATGAATAGTCCTGGGCTGTGATTCATAGCTTTCAATATTACCCTGACGGGGCTTAGTTTATTTCTTAAACTTTTTAATAATAGATAATGCGTCGGGATTTTCTCGCAAAATCTGTCATTTTTATTGGTTAAAGATGCAAATTAGAGACATTGTTTGTTGACATGTCAAAGAATGATGAGTAAACTATGCATTTTGATTATTTTTAATTTAGTAAAAAGCATTGAAACTTAGTCGAAATTAAAATATAATGCCTGGATATTTTAATGGTTTAACTGATCCAATGAAACTAGAAGTAAACAAGTATTATATTTAATCTGTACTGCATAGTTGTTTTTATATTGTATCTCAATCAAAATACGACAATTGAAACTTTTAACATCTACGACAAGTATAATTAGATACGCCCATTCTGTTTCTGCTGAACTGCACACAAAGTCAAAAATGGTCATTTATATCATTGAGAAAACTCCGAACTCTCAGAGTAGGACACCATCATAAATGAGTACGAACAAAAGTGCTAAGAGTTCGAACTAAAAGTACACATATATATCATAACTGGGTTAGTCAAGTACGAATAGAAAATAATTTGTACGCATCAGGGTTAGTTCGAATCGTAAAAAGGAAAGATAATGACTCAGAAAGCATCTTTCAATAAAATATCAGATTTCAGCATTTTTCAGATGAAAACAGTTCCTTGAAAAAATAAGAGAAATCATTGATAGTTTCATTTTCAAATCTAAATCGATGAACATTCTAGCTGATTTGTTCTATAAGTGCACCTTCGAGGACTGCAGTAACCAAAATATTGAAATCATTTATTAAAAATTTTATTGATCGATTTGGAAGTACAACAACGTTAAGGCTTTCGTTTCATTGATTCACAAGAAAAAATATACAATTAAAAAAGTTCGCGTTGATAATACTGATAAGGCAAAAGAAGCTAATAACGAAAGAGAAAGCAATGAGGTATCAGATAAACTTTGATGGTCTGTGGTTTCGCATAGATAATTTATGCTTATATATGACCTTTGAGGAATAACTGTTGTCGTTGTTCCAGGCGAAGATTATGTGGTTTCAAACGTTCACTAAAATATACAAGATGCATTGTATCACTTTGGTTTTTAGATTGCGACTTACTTCAATAACGATTCACCATCGACAGTTGCAAAACGGGATGTTGTGGAAGAAAAAGCAATATTTCGTCGTTTAGGTCGTTTACGTTTATCAGCTATAGTTTCATCTCGAACGGGCGATACAATATTATATCGACCAACACCGACCGTCTATGAAAAAGATACAAAGTGATGGATAAATGGAAAAAAAAATATTAATAAATAACATACATTATGACCACCTGTACTAGTAAATGAACGATTATCGTTTCTTGTTGATGATGAATTGAATCCAACTTTTTTCGCGTGATAATCATGTTTTTCCCATGGTCGAGTTACGACATATGCGCCCGGTCCAGGGAAATCAACATTTTTAGGTTCAAGACCTGTTTTTTTGTTTAAGAAACAAAAATCAAAAGAATAATTTAGTTACTTTATTTTCTCTACGTACCCACCTGGATGTTCGATAGCTAATCGATTTGTAGGTTTCTTTTGAAATCTATTCAATTTACTAAATGTTCCATGTTTACTTTTTGTTAATTCATGTGTGATCGATGTTGATTCTGGATAATCTTTTGATGGAAAATCAGGTGACAAATCCCATGTATCCAAAACAGCATAATGTCCAGTTGCTATTGGTGCTGAACGATCTAATGAAAATATTTGATATGGACCTTTTTCACTGACACGTTTATTAATTAATTCATCTATTGAATTTTTTATATTATATGTTCCTGGGCCGATTTTTGAACCCTAAAAAAAAGTATTGATCAGAAAGAAAAGCAAAAAGTCGATGTTTTTGCAGTACTTGAAGTGGTAATGTTCTTGGGCCTTGATTCCAATCAAGTGATGGAATATTACTACCTTGTTCCCATCGTTTTCGGTGAATTTTTTCATCAGGAATGCCGTAGGCACCTGGCGGAGGTGCTTTATCCTATTAATAAAGAAAAAGTATTAACACTGTAGAAATGAAAAGCAAAATGAGCTTTTTTTTCTTTCTCATACTAATTGTTCTTTGGGAAATCGTGGTGAAAGTTGATCAAGTGCACCTCGTGCACAACGTGGCCGTCGGTCAGCTTCTGTTATAAAATCATTTATCGGATACGTACCAGGACCAAGACGTTTTTGATCTTCTAATCGTTTTTCATATGTTTCTCGAAAATTCGGATGAGGAAATTTAGCTAACTGTTCTGTATATAATGCTTGTTGCCAGTTGGGACCTTCCATACGTTTTTGAATTGTTTGTTCACTAAAGTCACCATATTGCATTAGATCATAAGAGCCTGGTGCAACATTAGGCGTACTTTGATGTTGACTCCCAGTTAATAATTCTGGATGTAAACCAAGTGATTGGAATCTAAATATTTAATAATAATCAAAAAAGAAATGAAAATTTAATTAACGAAAATATCTTCTACCTGGCTGTTCTCGATGAGAAACCTTGTCCCGGCATTCTGTCAAAACCCGTAGCAGCCATGATCAATATGATGAACTACTGAAACAAAACAAAAAACAATGGAAAATACTTTAAACTTTTGATTCCTTTAGAAATTAGTTGTTTTTCTCATGGTTTTTTCTTCGATAAAAAACGACTTTTTCTTTCATCATACTTAAATACAAGTATAGCATTAGCGTTTTTTCTTTCTTTCATTGTGTACACTTAATCAAAAAGCAAATAGTAACAAAATCCAATGTGTTGCCAATTTTACCATTACGATGTTGGTAACAATAACACTTGCCTCCTAGTTTATCGTTCTCGACCAACATTGTTGTTCGTTCTGTCTGCATAGCCGCTCTAGAATTGCATTTTTTTTTCTTGCCGTATTAATTATTCTTTGAAACATAAAAGCATGGTTTGAGTATCGGTTCTTTCTTTCGGGTTTTTGGTTTATTTCAATAATAATCGCCCTAGAAAAAAACATTCTCTCAATGGTATCTACAACCTAGTAAAGGTAGTATTAGCAATAAATTAATTATTGGAGATCTCGGCCTAAAAGGTAAACGAGTTTTAATGCGTGTTGATTTCAATGTTTCATTGGATCATGGCCAAGTAAAAGATAAGCAACACATTTTGAAGGTGCATTACCAACAATAAAATATGCTCTTGATAAAGATGCAAAAGCAATTATTCTTATGTCTCATTTGGGTCGACCTGATGGTAAACGCGCTGAAAAAGAAAGTTTAAAGCCCGTTGCTGAAGAATTAAAAAGATTACTTGGCAAATATGTAACGTTTCTGAATGATTGTGTTGGTGAAGAAGTTGAACGTGTCGTTGGTGAATCCGATAATGGACAAATTATTATACTTGAAAATCTCTAATTTCATCTTGAAGAAGGTTCTGTTGAAGATAAACAAGGCAATAAAACAAAAGCTGGCAAAGATGCTACCAATAAATTTCGAGCTAGTCTATCAAAATTTGGTGATGTTTGTAAGTTTTTTCTTGTCTTATATTTACATGAATACGATCCGATTGGTTTTTTTCCCTATAGATATTCATGATGCTTTTGGAGCAGCTTTGTGCTCACAGTTCAATTGTCGGAGTTAAACTTGATCAACGTGCAGCCGGTTATTTAATGAAAAAAGAGCTTGATTATTTTGGTCTAGTACTTGAAAATCCTGAACGACGTTTTCTTGCTATTCTTGGTTTGTTCTTGAATTTCTTATATATATATTTATATTTAAAATTAAATTCCTCGAAGAAAAAGAGAATATGAAAATTGTTAAATCTTTATTTGATTCACAAGGATCGAAATCGATTTCAAAAGATTCTCGATAAAGCTAAAACAAAAAATGTTGAAATCTATTTGCTAGTTGATTTTATTGTTGCTCATGATATTAAATCAACAGAAACGAAAAAAGCAACAAAAGAAAATGGTATCGACGAGGATTATCTTGGCCTTGACATCGGCAAAGAATCCATAAAAACAATTTATTGATGGTATTAAAAAAGCTAAAACAATTGTATGGAATGGTTCTATGGAAGTTTTTGAACAAGATCAATTTGCTAATAGAACACAAGAATTACTCAAAGCTGTGGTCAAACAAACAAAGCAAAATACTATAACAATTATTGGCGGAGAAGATACAGCGACTGCTAGTGCTAAATTTGTTTTTGCTGATCAAATGAATCATGTATCAACTGGAGGTAAGTTAAATTAGAGAGTATTATACTGATCTATCGACTCCTTTTAAGGTGGTGCTAGTCTTGAACTTCTCGAAGGAAAAGATCTTCCTGGTGTAACTGGTCTCAGTGATAAATGAATGAATTACTTTTATTAGTAAAATCTTTTTTATTGTCTAGTCTTAGATCGTCGACTCATTCTTTTTATTGTTAGTTTTAATAGATATTTTAAAATACAGAAAAAAAAAGGAAGAAAACATTTAGGGTTTATCTGGTTCTTCATGCCATGGTCGTTGGATTCGTGTTTGCTCCCATGCATCTAAATTTTGATGATTAACCATTTGCTCATATTCTTCTTCTAACGTTGTTGGTTCACCATAATCAAGACCTTTAGCTTTAATTTCATCACGTGAATATGTTTTAACTTGTTGTCGTCGACGATCGTAACGTACCCAAGATGCACTACGTATTGTTACATAGATTACACCCATTAATGTGATGTATGGAAGAAAATTTTTCAAAAACCTTTTATTCATTGTTGATTTACTTTTTTAATATTAGAACAGATAAATTCTTCGATTTCTGCAAGATCTTTCTTAGCGAATGAATGTAATGCAAAACCAAAGAGAAGTTGTTTTTTTAATTGTAAGCGTTCGTAAAGATGACGAGCAAGTATATGATATTCAGCTTGATCTTTACCAAGAAGAGATTTTACTGAATAGACTGGTGTTGAATCTTCTTCTAGATTAACGTCACGACGAACGAGAACCTACACAATTCATATGGAAATAAATATGATTAGGTTCTCTATTTTTGACTTACTAAACTTCCGATTTTACCAAATTGAGTTACCGATATAAAAAGTTTATTAGCAAAACTACTTATAACAAGATCAGTAATGTGATTGCTCAGTGTTGTTTGTGCCTAGAAGTATGCCAAATACAAAATAATATTAGGAATTTATGACTCTTACAGTTGTTGTTTGTGGAAATTTAGAATCCATAGTGCATGATGAAAGTGAAATAAAATTTTCTTTTTGTATTAAAAGTGTTTAAGGTATACATAGTAGTTGCCAATCTAAAATGGAGGCTTATAGATGACGCTACATGTAATATCGTCAATATTTCTTTATCTGTTGACTTCTTAGTTTTACCTGTAGACTAGTCAAAAGTTGTCCGTTCTGATAATATAACGATTCCATTTAGTTCGAATTCTTTGGCATCTCACTATACACTTTATTCATTTTTCGTTCTTATGGAAGACACTTTCTCAGCGACAATCACAGAACGATTTCAGTGTAACACTGAAAATTGAACCCTACTTAAATTCTAATGAGATCTTGAAACAAATGGCAGCCATGAATCTTCTAAGTTAATTGACGTACAGAAAAAGAAGGAGCAACGGTATATTTCGTATCTTATCAATTTACTAGATTTTGAAACAAAGTTTCTTTTCCTGACAATAAATTCATCTCTTTCGTATAACTAGGTTTGACTGAATGAAGAGAAAGATCAACACGAACCTTGACATGCAAAAAATATACATAACGAATATGTGAATACTCTTTTATTATTATCTCTCTAAATTATTTCTTAATAGATTGACTTTATAATGTATGATCTTTAAAATATGTCTATGTTTGTATTTAATAACTTACTGATTAATGTTTCTAACTATTGGATGATTTCTGAAGGTTCTTATAAAGATTATTATTGATTTTTCGTAATATTCATGGTAATTAGATCATTTTCAAAAAAAAGAACTACGAAACACTACTTTTCATCTTTTTATTTTAAGAAACAAAAGAAAAGTATGAAAAAAATAAACAGGCATACACAAATAATAATAGATTAGTTTTTCTTGGTAGTTGTGCCAAAAAGAGTATGTCGCATGACATATTCTTTTTCTGTAAGACATTCGCTTCGAGGAATAAATACGTTTGGATCACTAATACCTACAGTGAGATCATAAAATGATAACACTTCATTGCCGTATTTTTCACTGTAAGTTGTTCGAGAAACTGGAAGACATCCTCGATATGTCCATGTTCCTATATATGGAATAGTTTCATTGTTTGATAAAGTAAAATTGCCACCCCTACGTATGTTTAAAAAATAGTGCACTTTTCAAATCAATGGAAAAAGACTTTGTACTAACCAAATTGTAATGAGTAAACCAGTGTCCGGAAGAGAAGATGAACCAATGTAGGCTTCACCATATGAAGTTGCATCTGGAAGAATACCAAAATCACGCCACGGTTCAGTTATTTCTCGGCGTGTACAATTTTTAGTTTTGAAATTATAATCGAATTCAATTCTAGCATCATACAGGGAGAGAATATCATTCGCTATTTCTTCAGTACCGATTTGAAGATCGTCGACGATTCGTGAACGATGATAAACAGAATCATAGCTTATTCGTCCTCTTAATGATGCTTTTTGTTTTTCATTACTGTCGTATATACGCCCTTCCCATTGTGGTGGAGTTGTACATGGACGTGGTTGTTGTGCAGCAGCAAAACCAAGCAAACAGAGAAGCAGAATTGTTAACATGATTTTGTATTATTCGAATTGAAATAAAAGACTTGTAAAGATTTTAAATGCAGACAAGGAAAGTGTGCATCTTTATATGCATGTAATAGTAATAGAAAAGATCGCTATCAATGTCTAGTATAGTGGCCTTCAGATAACTGAAATAGATAACAATGAGAAAGAAGCACCGTATTCAATTATTCGATAAACTATGACAAATAATGACCTCTCAATGGCTATTAAGAAATAAGCGAAGAAGCGATAAGATAAAAAAAGGTTCTTCTCTTTTGTGAAATTCATGTTAGTATAACTGAAATGACGCTATTGTATTTACTCAATACAAAACTGTGAGTTGTTCTAATCTATATTAGCCATTATTGATAAACTCTGACGCTTGACATCATATCGCAACTGTCTGACGACAAATATTTGGTCTATTGTGTCACTATTTTTCTCATACTGCAAAATTTCATTGCATACCTTTTTTTATTAGAGATCCAAAATCTCGATAGGATAGAACACTGCAAAGTCATACCTAGTTCTTTATTCCTAATAAATCTTCAGCTGAACAATATTCAAAATAAACTCTACTAGACCAACATCAATAGCTTCTAGAACGATTTTTTTTTCTCTTCCATAGCTACGAATTTGTGTCATCTGAATAGTTCTAAATTCAATTTTCCCGGGCGATTTCCGATATCACCGATAGGAATTCAAAGTTAAACAATTTGAGTCAAATTTGTTGTTCAATCATCAATCAAATAATTTCTTTCATATATAGATGCAATTTTACTATTTTTTATATTAAACTCTGAATAAGTACGTAATAGTACAATTTGAAGTAGGCTCATGAAAATTTCGTATTCGAATTGGTTTGAAAATCTATTAGCATCGTTTGTATTTTCCTATTTACACCAATCTAAAATTTTGCTTTCGATCAAATCTGATGGGGATAGTTGTCCGCATCTCATTCACACCCTCTCAACGCGCATCATATTTGATAATGCATTTGCAGGTGTGCCATGCACAGATATAGTGACGATGGCGTATATGTATTATTGCCACTGTGGTTAACTGTTTAAATGCAAGATGTATTCTAAGCATAAGACTAATCAAATTCACTGAGACTCATAGTCATGCCCACTATGGCAGGCACTTTGTCCAATAAAAACTAGATAAAACAATAGTATTGATTATCAGCACCTAGGAAGATGATGAAAATTACTAGGTTATTTCCTCAGTTGGATAGTTAATTATCTGTAGTAGTATTGTTGATTCAGTTAGATGTAATTGAAAAATCAGTTTTTCGTAGGAAACGTTCATTATACTAGTCGAAAACTTTCAGAAAATACATTCATTCGAAGCATAATTGTTTTCGCTACTATAATATATGATAGAGTTTCTCATGCAAAAACAATTTTGAATTTTTCACGCTGGAATACCGACTCCAATGGTCATACACTCAAAAGTAGTGCATTTTTCGTATCCAATGGAACTCCACGTATTATACTCAACCATAGAGATTTTTATATCAAATGTGCAACTGAGTTACCCAGGTCGATCAAAACGGAACTCCGTTTCGGACCGTATTAATGGGCGCAGTATTACGGACCGTAAAGGTGTTAGTTACGGGTCAAATACGGCCGTAAACCGAGACTGGTTTGGAGCACCGTAAAACGGGGAGCCATATACTGTGAAATCTTGACCGTATACGACGCAAATGTAAGCATCGTACGGTCCGTAATACTGCGCCCATTATACGGTCCGTATTGTTCGACCTGGGTAGAGCTTTCAAACGAGACCATGTTGATTGTTTTTGCTGTCTCCTTCTTGAACTATTCCATATACAATAGAATCCGAATATTTGTGTCGTTCAATGCTACGTGAGCCCTAAAATTTCGCAAAGAAATGATTCGCAGTAGAAAGAACGCATTGAGTTATACACATTTGGTATAAAAATCTCCATGGTTGATTGTAATCCGTGAAGTTCCATTGAGTGCGAAAAATGCACTATTTTTGAGTGTATGACCATTGGGGTCGATATCCCAGTATAAAAATTTTAAAATCATTTTTGCATGAGAAAATCTTTTATATATTGTAGTAGAGAAAACAATTCTGCGTCGAATGAATCTATTTTCTGAATGCTTTCGACGAAAATAATGAGCGTTTCCTACAAAAAACTGACTTTTCAATCACATATAAGGCACGACAATTTCAAATTTTCTGATTTACTGAACTGAGTTATGAAAAGTTTTCAGAATCCATCGGGCTATTCATTTGTGTGACAGTTTTGTCTTTTTTAAGTGCTAGAAGGTTTTTCGGTGCAAATGCTGTTATTGGTGTCAAAGATTAGCTGACTGTTGTTATTAGGAAAATGGCTTCTAACAACAACAGATATAGGTCCTTGTTGTCGTAGATCGCTGATTTCTCCGCGCCTCACTTCAGTTAAAAACGGTTGTTTCACCATTTGAAAGGGAACACTCCAAGGATTATGCATGCGTAAGAATAATTTCAATCGAGTGTAAAATAACTGTACACCAAACCAATCAAATCATGCCATGTTTTTAGTGTTGTTATTAGCCCAGGTCGAACAGTCTGGCCTGGAAACGGCCGATTCCAATTAGTTCCGTTGATTTTGTGCAAGCAGCATTCCGGTTGGGAAATTTTAGGATTTTTCTGGTGATTTCTAATCAATTCCTGTCGGAGAACGCCGGACCTTGGCAGGAATCCTGTTGCAAAATTCCGGCCGTATTTTTGACCGGAATACTGCTTCCATGTTCCAGCGATTTCCCGTGTTTTCCTGCTGGATATGGTGACTCTTCCGCATATTTCCTGAAGTATCCTACGGGATCCGGTGGCCGGAATGTTTGACCTTAGAGGATAATGCATAATGTCTATAGTTTTTCACTTCATATGTGCGTTATATACTGTTAGGGGCCTGCCCTCACATATCCTAGTATCATTTCTGTTTCATCGATGTGACGTCATTCTTTACATATTAAGATATATCTCTTTCTTCGGTGCAATATCTTTCGATCACATTATCCTCTTTTTCTTGTATTCGTTTTCTCTTTCGGTTACCTGGATGTGCAGAACGGACATATATATACGAGTGTTTATTTCTGTTTTAGTTGGTCTGATGTAGTGTAGCCGTTGTGTGTATGTGTATCCGTACGTGTTAAGTAGTGATTTAATAAAGAGACGGGAGAAAAATATCTTCCGCTAATATATACATAGATTTTTTCCGTTTCTACACGTGCACAACAAAGAAATAATGTACACTTCTCAGTATAACCCACATATGATGTGAATGCAAGAAATATACCCATTGCTAAAATGAAAATTTCATTTTTGATGCATTCAATAGGAAAAAAAGATATATTATTTGACTAAATTTTCTCGTCGTAACATGAGGCAATGCTATTTTATTATTTTTAGATATAAAAGATATTTCATAATGACTTCACGTGTACTATTATTATGCTGGTGCCTTCTATCTCTCACGTGCTGATACCGTTTCTTACTACACTGACCGTATTAGTAAATTTCATTGTTGTGCAGAAAAGGTTCATCATATGATTAAATCACGATATCAACTAAGCCCAGATCGAACAGTCCGGTCACCGGATCCCGTAGGATACTCCAGGGAATATGCGGGAAAGTCACCATGTCCTGCAGTAAAACATGTGAAATCGCTGGAACATGGAAGCAGTATTCCGGTCAAAAATACGGCCGGACTTTTCCGGCGAATTCCTGCCAAGTTCCGGTGCTTTCCGGCAGGAACTGATCGGAAATCACCGGAAAATTTTCCAATCGGAATACTGCTTCCACAAGATCAACGGAATTACTCGGAACCGGCTGTTTCCAGACCGGACTGTTCGACCTGGGAGGTATTAATCTATCTAACTACTGCATGTAGCAGTGCACCGGTTAAAAGAGCATTCTATCTACTTTATTGTATGAATATTGATTTCGGTTTAGCACTAGCCATTTCTGTACTTGGTTTTCTAACTGCCTTAGTTTCAAATTATGACCAACAAAACTATCTCATTACATCACCAGTAGATATTATTATATTGTTATTTTGTGTGGTGTATCTCTATTCAGTTTGGAGTGACTATCACGATTCACAAAACTACGAAATAGTAAGTTACAGCACAGCAACAAGTTATTCATATAATACGAAAGAAATTAATCATTATCCATATGTTAGTATAAACTTTAACAAGAAAAGGACACTTCTCTCTATTCATTTAAGTTAAAGAAGAAACATGTTGTTTTACATTATTTTTGTAAATTGAATTTTATTTCTCGCTCTTCATATTGAACTAAAAGACAAAGCAATGATAAAAAATTGCTTCTTGGTAAAATCAATTTTCTTATTATGTTTTCGCGCGATTCTGTCTCAACACAGAAATAAAATCGAAAAAAATCTTTATTTTCTAGATAATTGATATATGGGCTGCATCGTATATTTTGGAAGTATTAACTAGTGATATTTATTCATAAGTTTGTGAATTAATTGAATGAAGTTGAACAATTGAGAGGAATGCCAAGCCAAAAAGCTACTGTTGCTGATATACCAAAAACAATTGATCAATGTGCAGCAACAAGACAATAAATAATAATCGGCAAATTCAACAAAACAGTTTAAATCATTTAAAAAATAAAACGACAGCATATGGTGATTTATTGGTTTGTGCTTTCACTCTATATTTTTCAACAAAGAATATCCTTTTTAGCTGATCAGTATGTTGATAACACAAAATACATCTTTTGAGATATAATCGAGTTCAGGAAATTTATTTGAAATTAATTAAATGAAAAAAAGTTCATTTTTCTCGATAGAAATTACTGGAACAATAGGGATTCTATGTTTGAATTTATCTCATCTGACCCAATTTTACTTCATTAAAAGTTCAGCTGAAAGAGAATGGATACTCTAGTAGTTACAAGATTTTCTACTTTTATTCTTATAGAATTTATTTTTCTTTAATCATTCAGTAAAGATTCAATGTCAATAAAATAAAAACTATACTATTGTCAAATATTTCAACAGCGTCAACTTCTTACTTACGATGTGTTTTTATTACATTTTGGAAACGTTCTCTATGAACCCCCAATTATTTTTTTGAGATTTTACTGAAAAAATTGCAAATACACACATTTGAACACTAACTGAAATAAAATGCAAGGTTTTGTTTCAAATGAAATAAAACTAGTTATTATCGATAATAAATTTATGAACATGCTGTTAAAGAAAGAAAGAAAAAAAGGCAAGTCTACTCAAACAAAACAACTTGACCTACCCAGGTGAATGAATCCGATCGAATCTTGTAAAATCCGACGAGCCGACAAGGTCCCGTGAGATTCTGGGTTGAGGAACTACTAACGGATCCCTAGTGTTGGAATCCGGTGCACATCTGACCAAATCCAACAACCGAATTCGATAGGAATTTTAGAAGTCGGATCCCAACGAGGTCCTAAAAAAATCTATCGGGTTTTCACTGGTTCCTGCAAGAATCGATCGGATTCCAACACTAGGGATCCGTGAGTGGGTCCGCAACCCGGATTTGCTTAGAATACTGCAGGAACCGATCGAAATCCGATCGATTCCGGTTGGATCCAGGTATCGGATTGTTCGTCCTGGGTAATTAACGCAATTAACTTATAATAAAGATAATCTATCTAAAGCAAATGTTCATTACACTGGGTGATAGAATGGTAAAGTAAAACGAAAAACATATCTGTACAGAAATATAATTAGTTTATTTAATAAAGAATACAATTCTTCTTTTAATTATTTTCTTTTTCAAATCGAATGATCTTTCATTTATCTGGTGAAGACGATGCTATTCCATTTTGATTTAAATTTGATTCAAAATTATTTGAAAAAGGTAATGAACTTTCTTTTGCTACGAAAAATGCAGAATACACGCGTCAACTTCCACGAATAATTTCTTACTTGGAATAAAACCATTCAATGGATGACTTTTTTAAGTAACAAACGGCCATGACGAGGCAATATTGAATTAAGATTATATTTATCCTGATTAAAAAACAAAAAAATCTTATCGAAGAAATAGTTTCGTTTCAAATCACATCTGATTGTGTTGATGTTTGATTCGTATTATTTGCATCGAAAATTGCTTGAAATTTGGAGTGTTTTGTTTTTGATAATTGAGATAATTGACGTTTCACACGATTACGTGGTTGAAGACTAACAACATTTCTAACAAACGAAGCGAAAATATTAATATCGGCAAATTAAAAACAATTCTTCCCATGTTGCGAATACCGGATCATTTTTTTGCGGTAAACCGCGGTATTTATCCTTTCTGCGGTAATGGGAGCCGGTAACCCGACCGGTAAAACCGCGGTTAACCGTCGATTTTCATGCGGTTTTTATTACATAGTTTTTTTCTATTCAATTTATCGAAATCGATTTCTTTCAAGATTATTTGTTTCAACTTCCGAAAAGATTTTTAGTTCATTAAAACTAAATTATTTATTATTGGTGATTCTTTTTCGTCAATTTTGACATTTGCGGAATTCTTCAGAAATAAAATCTATCCTATTTTCTTTCCTTTCCCATGTTGGATAGAACGGTGCGTAAACGAACTTAAACGACTGTAAAACGGCGAAAACCGGTGGCCTCTTATATGGCGGTTTCCATGTTGCAGGAAACGACTACCTTCTAAAGCCAACGTTTTTTTTACCGCTTTACATCTCTTTTGTTTTGTGATATAAATATGGATAAAATAGATACTTAACCACTGTCGTTCAAATTGTTTTATTCATTTTATTTTATTTTATTTTGAGGAATAAAATATAAATCGCCAATGCAACACTCATTTTAAACGGCGAAAAGCGACGAGATTGAGACGATAAAGGGCGAAAATAGAGTCCTTTTATCACACTACGTTTGTCATCCGAAACGGCCTTAAACGACGTCGTTAACGTTTTGCGGAAAAACGGTCCATAATCTGAGCTGACGGAAAACGGTAGTCGTTTTTCATCGTTTACGGCATCAATTGCGCCGTTTCGTGACCGTTTCAGGCAGTTTAATGCCATCTTTCAGGCGGTCTGAATGATGAACCTGGGCTGTCTTGATTTTTCATTCATCTAGAAGATACCAGGGAAGCAATAGAATATCAACATACTGGGGCAGCATATAATACAACTACATCACAAGATATTAGGTCATAGTAAGAGAGTTTGGATTTCAAAAAGAAATAATTTTCTTCCCAGTAGGCTATTAACGACAGTAAATCATAGCAAAAATGATTGATTATAAACTAGTGGCGGCGCCAGGGGTGGGCTAGGGTGGGCTAAGCCCACCCTAAAATGTTTTGAGCCCACCCAGAAATTTTTTAAGGCTTCTGAAAAAATCAATGATCATTTTATACAAGTGATGCTCCAGCATACGACTGCTAGCTATGATAAAGATAAAGATAAAGAAAGATTCTTACGTATTTTCTATTGGATGACGATTGAAAACAGGGTTGCCACCTCATCAGTTCCAAAAAGCGGCAAATAGCGGGAAAAAGTGGAAAGCTGCTGTTTCGAAAAATTTTTTATCTTCCCAAAAATATTCCTTCTGTAATACTGAAATGACGGTATTGGAACTATCAGTTCACGAGTTTACGAAGTGAATATGCCACT